GGGGGGGGGGGGGGAGAGGAGGCAGTTCTTCTGGCCCTCCAAATTTCCTGCGGGGGTGGGGTGGGGGTGGGGGTGGGGTGGGGTGTCACAAGGGGTCCCAGCCAAGTCAGCTCAAGGGCACCACCTGCTGGCCACCTCCTTGCCTGCACCCTTCGTTTCTGGCTGCTCCTCAAATCACACCTCTCCCCCCCCTCCCCCCACCGTCCTCATGGACCCTCTGGAGGCTTCACAGGACAAGAGGGCAGAGCCCCCCTCCCCAAGGAAGGAGAGAAGCGCTCAGAAGAGCAGCCCCCAATCCCACGAGGGAGGGTCTTGCCCTGGGGAGACGCTGCCCACCAGAAACCGACCAGGCTGACGTGGGAACAGAGCCAGCAATGGGGCATCCTGAGTGCACAGCAGTCATGGGAACGCAGCTGGGGCACCTCAGGCTGGGTTGCCTGTCAAGCCCCCCGTCTCCCCAAGAGATCAGCCAGGAGCCTTTCCGAATGAGGTATCTTTATTGCACAGTCCGTCCCCCCCGCCCTCTGTCTCTGTCTCCCCGTCCACAGAGGGGCAGCAGCAGGAGGGGGCTGCCAGGGGGTACCCCATAGCGCCCCATGTGCAAAGTGGAGCTGCATTTACGGACTGGCCAGAGCACAGCTGCACATCATAGGGCAAAACCCACAGACCCCAGCACGTAGGTAGGGTTCCTCTCTGCACCCCAGGACCCCTCTTTCCCCCAAGACCCCCTCCCTGCATTGGGGTGTCCCAGCCCAGCAGGGGCAGCATCCTCAGGCAGCTGGGAGGGCCAAAGGAGGGGCGGACCTTGCCAGCCAGGTTCCCACGGCAACGTCTTCCGCCCGTCACGTGGGGCCATCAGTCCCAGAAGAGGCTCCTTCCTTTCTAGCAGAAGCTGCAGGGGGGAGGGGAAGAGAGGGGTTGCCCTCCAGGTGCCCCCCCGCCGTTTCCCCCAGGCTGCCCTCCACTGCTTTGCCTCCTTTTCCTGCTCCTTTCCCGGCTCCCAAAAGCCAAAGGACCCCCCAAGGGGGCAGCAGCCTCTTCGCTCTCTCCTGGCCGGCCACCATCGGCCAAGCCCCTCTGGACAACAGTCTGTGGAGCTTCCCAAGCTGCCCCCGCCCCACAGCTAACTGGGCTCGCCATTCCCAGGGAAAGACCCTCCCAGGGCCCAGGCAACGGGGGGGGTGGGGGGCATCCCCACGGCACCTCCGCCCAAAGGTCGCCCCTTTCCCGCTTACCCCGTTGGTGTGCCTCCTTGGCTCTGGCCCGCTCCTTGGCATCGAAGTACCAGACCGTGATGGCATACCTGGGCAGGTGGCAGAAGGCAGGTCAGGCGGCAGCTGGGACTGGGGGAGGGGTTGAGAGAGCTGGTGTGGCCTGGCATCTGATGGGGGGTGTCTCTCCAGGACAAGCCGCTCAGCAATCGATGGGTGGGGCGCAAGACTAGTCCCCCCCCCCCGCTGCCCCAGTCTTTCTCAGCAGCAGCCCAGAAGCCTCTGGCTGCAGCCCCGCTGGGGGAAGGGGAGGGATCTTCTGCTCCAGCCCAGGGACCCGGGTGTCCTCTGGCTTGGCATCCCCGTCCTCCGGTCTCTTGGAGGGTGCTGCCTCTGGACTTCCCTGCCTCTTTCCTGGGGGGCAGCTGGCTCTGAAGCCTTCCTCTTCGTGGGGCGGGGGCTCCACCTGGCTACCCCCCATTGCCAAAGTGTCACTCTGCCTGTCTGGGGGGAGGTGATTCATTTGCAGGCCCGGGGTGGTTCTTGGCCCAGGCCCTTCCCTCCAGCCAGTCCCTGTCACCTGGTAGCGAAGGCCGGCTTCACTTGGTGTGGGTTGCGCTGGTCGGACCAGAAGATCAGCAGCCGGTCAAAGATGGGATCGATGTTGGCCACAACCGAGCGGCCCTCTGGGAAGATCTGCAGGAGGCCCCCGTGCACCTGGGGGAGAGGGGGCCAAGGAGGGCCCTTCAGGCCAGGGGGGGGCAAGGAGGGCCAAGGAGGGCCCACCCAGTCCTGGCCTCTGTCCGAGAGCCCAGCCCTTCAGCCCCAAACTGCCTTCAAGGGGAGCCCTCCACTCTTCGCAGCCTTCTAGGAGCACGGAAACCTCCCCCTTCCGCGGGGGCTTAAACCTTCCCGCTCTTCAAGACTGGCGACTCCGATCCCCTTCCCGTGAAATGCCAGCAGAGCCCCAGTCTCGGCCCTGGCTGCTCTGAGCTGCCCCTGAAGGCCAGGAGCTGCCCCCTTGCCCCCTCCTCACACCCCCTCCCACCACCCCCTACCTTGCTGTCCCACTTCTGGTTCAGGTAGTAGATGCAGGTGACGCAGCGCCCGTCTCCGTGGGGGTTGTCCACATGCCGCACGTAGCCCAGGCCATTGCCAGGGTAACATGCCACCATGGCCTGGGAGGCAGGAGGGGAAGGGGGGACGACTGAGCAGCTGGCAAATCCACCAGGCTTGCCCCCCCAGAAGCCCCCTGCCCCTCTGGCCAGCTGCTTTGGCACAAATGACCGGGCCTCATAGCCCAGACCACCCTGGTAAGGCACTCCACCAGAGGCGGGGGGGGGGGCAAATGCCAGGGCATGGATCTTCTGCCACCATCAAACAGGTGCCGGGGCCAAATCCTGCAGCCCCGCTGGTCTCACATACCCTCACTGCAGGCACCCCAGACACCCCAGGAGGCCAGGCCAGATGCCCTCCTTTCAGAGAAGAGCCCCTCCCCCACCACACACCGAGACTCCCTCCCCCTCCTTCAAGCCCAAGGCGGGCAAAGGCTGGACGGCTTCTGCGCAGGGGCAGGAGCTATTGAGAGGCATCCCCATCCTGAATTGTGGTTCATCTGAACACTGGCGGGGGGGGGGAGCCCCACTGCGAGAGGGATGCAGTGGGCTGGCAGCACCCCCCCACGCAAGGCATCTGCCCTCCCTGCCCCCCAAGCCCCCCTCCCCCCTGGGCAGCCGACAATAGGGACCCTCTCCCCACGCAGGGCTGGAGCAGCCTGTTCTCAGGAAGAGCCAGGACATCCAGTCCCCCCAGTGAGGCGGGACTTGTTCCCTCCCAGCCGGGCGGCTGCCAGCCACGTGGTGGATGTTCCCTGCAGGGTCACCCGAGGACGGGGGGGGGGGGGAGGAGACGCCAACTCAGGGAGCCTTTGGAGGGGGCTGCAAAAGGAGGCGAAGGCAGGGCTGGTTGCCCACCTCTGAGACTCCTCTTACCCCTTCAAGGATGGGGGCACTTTGGCCAGGGTCCCTCTGGGCGCAGGCTGGCAAGACTAGCAAAAGGGAGGGGGCCTACTCTGAGGGGCCCCACAGGACCCTAAAGTCAGGGAGGGCTGGCAGACAATTGACTGGTACCCACACAACATGGCGGGGCTCATTCCAAGCCTGGCCCATGCCCCCCACAGCCCCCCTCACCCCCCCCCCGTCCCTTCAGGGCTCAGCCCAACCAGGGGCCTCCAAAGGGAGAGGGGGAGGGTCAGAGATGCTTATTTGCCTTCTTGGGGCAAAATCCAGGAGGGCTGCTCCCATCACCCCATCCTCCACGGCTACCTGTCCTGCCCCAGGTAATAAGAGGGCATCCCTCCCTCCCAGGACACCCAGCCCGGGAAGCAGAGGCCCAAGGAAGAGCCCCAAGCCCCGAGGGCCTTTCTTGGGGAGGGTTGCTTCTGGTCTTGGGCCACCTGCCCAGCTCCAAGCCCCTTCCAGCAGCAGCAGCAGCGGCAGCAGCAGAGATCCCGCCCCCAGGTGAAAGCCAACGGCTTTTTGCGCCCTCCGGAGGGAGGGGATCCCACGGCCTCCCCCCCCCGCCCCCGCCTTGCGTCTGCCCGAGGGGCCGGGGAGGGGCTGAGCCCGGGCAGCGGCCCTTCCAGCCGGCGCTCGCTCACCTTCGTCCGGCCGTTGATCTCGTAGCCGCCCAGCTGCCCGGCGCACTGCAGGATGAGCTCGTCCAGGCGGGCCATGAGGGCGCCGATGGCTCGGCAGCCGGGCTCCCGGCCCTCCACCCAGGCGACCTGGTCCCCGCGGATGCGGCGGGCGGGCCCCGCTCTGCGAAGCGCCAGCTGCCCGTCCTGGAACTTGCCGCCGCGGTGCAGGCCCTCCACTTGCGCCAGGATCTGCCCGCCCAGCGCCTCCCCGAGGAAGGCGTCCTTCACGCAGAGGCCGTAGCGAGCCAGGCAGGGCACCACGTAGTCCCGAGCCAGCCGGCCGACGGGCCCGCGCCGGAGGGTGCCGGGCTCTCCCCGCGGCCGCCGCTCGGCCGAGCCCTCCGCCTCCGGGCAGGGCCGCTTCAGCTCCCGGGTCAGGGCCAGCCACAGGAGGCCCCGGACGGCCACCCCTTTGCCCTCCACGCGACCCGCCGCCGCCGCCGCCGCCGCCGCCTGCCTGCCCTGGCCCGGGAGCAGCCCAACGGCAGGGCCCGCCGGGCGGGGGGCCTCCATCTCAGGCGCGGAGGGCGCGGGGCGCGGGCCGGCAGCATCTCGCAGCCCACGGGTGGCCGAGCAGCGGGAGGGGCCGGGCCCGGTTGCCTGCGGGAGGGAGAGGAGGGGCTGAGCTCCCAAGGGCCCCGAGCGGACTCAGCGCGCCCAACGGCCCGCATCCCCGGGAAGGGAGGAGGGAAGCCAGCGGGGGAAGAGACAGTCCCAGTCAGGCCCCCGAGCGCGGGTCCCAACCTCCCCGGCCTGCGGCCGAGGCTGGCGGGACCGCGACCCCACAAAGGGCGGACACCTGCGGGAGGGCAGCCGGAGATCCCGGCGGGACGGGCCGCTGTCCTGCGGGCCAACCGGGGCACGAAGCGCCGCCGCCTTTGGCAGCCGCGGCGGCTCCGCGAGGTCCCTCCTCCGCTGTCCTGCGAGCCGGCCGCGCTCTGCTCGGCAAGGGGCTGCTCCTCGGCGCCCCCCGGACGCTTCTCACCTGCGCTGGAGCCGCCGCTTGTCCTGCCGGGCTCTGGACAAGCGCCACCCGGGCAGCCTCCTCGCGGGAGCCCCGGGAGCGAGCCGCCCCTGGTGCCGCCGCCACACGGGGCCCGCGCTCGGCCCTCCGAGCAGAGGAAGCGGAAGCGGAGCGCGCGGGGGTCGCTCGGGCCGCCGGTGGCGCGGCTCCTCGGTCCCGCGCGCGCGGCGCTTGGCTTTCTGGCCGAAGCCGCTTTTCTTCCGGGAGCTCCGCAGGGCGACTGCCCGGGGTAGCCGGCGGGAGCCTCTTCTGGAGCGCGGAAAGCCGAAGGGCCCGGCCCGGCCTGTTGATCTCCCGCGACCGGGACCCCCGCGTTTTTTCCCCGCGGCAGCTCCGAGCAGACCCGGCGCCTCTTTCCAGCCAGCGGAGGTCGAGGCCCGGGGCGGTGGAGCCGAGGCAGCGGGGCAGCCCCAGCGCTTCTCCCAGCTCGATCCGGCCAAACGCTCCCTCTCCAGCGTCCCCCGCCGCCCCGCAGGTTTTCGGAGGAGGAGTTGTTCCTCCAGGTTGGACAAAATGTTCTCACACACACACACACACACACCAGGCCAAGGGAAGCCGAAACGGCCAGCTTGGGTCAGCCATCAGAGGCTTCCGGGGCACAGCCAGTGAGCAAACCTCGCGGGGTGAGGATGGGGGGGGGGGGATGCGGCAGAGGAACTTGGGTGGTACCGGTACCAAGCACCCAAGGCAAAAGAACGCACCAACGCTTCCCAAGTGGGCACCAGCAAGGAAGCTGCGCAGGCCCAGGTGTGCCATCCCCATAGAGACCATTTTCCTCCTTTCCAGGAATTATTTGTCTTGACTTCCCAAAAGGCTGGAAAACCAAATCATTGGGGGGGGGGGGGGGCAGTCTGGCAGAGATTCCCTTCCCCCACGTGCTGCAGGCAAACCCATTGGGGCTCTTTCTTGCCTGCTTCCTTTCCTGGGCTCTGCCTGTCTGGCGGGAAACCGCCTGCCCTGCTTGGGTCCCAAGAGAACTTTTTGGGAATACCAGAATCAGAGGCTGCTGCTACCCACCAAAGGTCTTGAAGGTCTGCCTGCCCGTGGGCTTGGAGGCTTCTGGGGCGACTCCTAAGCCCGCCCACCCACCCGGTTTGCAGTTCTTCCTCCGAATTGAAAAAACACCCGTGTGGGTTCCCGGTTTTTGGAGCTCAGCTAAGACGCACCTTTGCCTTCAACTCACAGTTAGTCTCATTTTGTGGTCCAGGGGCTTCTTCCTGGGAAGCTCCTGGTGGACCCCTGACACCCACTTGATTTGCGGATTTGGAGGCAAGAAGTTTTCATTTCAGAAGAGGTGCTCCATGGATTGACTGAGAGGCTGATCTTTTAATTGTTGCTCTTTATTTTCTGATCACGTTCATCCATTTGTCTTTTCGGTTTTGATTTTTGTTCAATTGCAGGCAAGAAATGTGATAAAGCATGTAAATCCTGGAGAACTCGAGTCTTCAGTCTGAGTTACGTAGACCACTACGGGATCATTCCTTGGTATGGTACACACGAGCCATGGTGGTGCAGTGGAATACTGCTGGCTACGTCTGCTGACTGCATCTCACCAGGCTCCAGGTTGACTCAGCCGTCCATCCTTCCGAGGTGGGTCAAATGAGGACCCAGACTGCTGACTCTGTAAACCGCTTAGAGGGGGCTGGAAAGCCCTGTGAAGCGGTATAGAACTCTTAAGTGCTCTTGCTCTTGCATACATGTCCTCAGTTGACGACTTCTTGTTACAATGATGATTTGTTATTAAAGGGTTATAGGATTTGTCTACAATGAAGACAGGAGAATCGGGGATCCAGCGCTTCCTTATCCCTCCCTCTCTACAGTAAAGGACAGGCTCAGCTTATGAGGGTAACAGAGTTTTGACAACTCCCCTGTCATGTTTTTCACACCATGAAAAATGATGCCGGTTTCTCCCTTGGAGTTCTTTTGCCTCTCGGTCCGTTAGAGCCTCCATTAAGGCAAACTGCAGAGCTCGCTCCTCCCATCACCTCGGGGTGACACATTGGCGGTTCAGCCATCTTTGGAAAAATTAAAAAAATCACTTGGACCTTGCACACAAGCACGGGGCAAACGGCTTTATGGCAACCAAGCCCAAGCGGTCCACGCGAGAGAAAGATCCATCGCCCGAGTGAAGGGAAGGAGGGAGCTTTTGGGTGGAGAAGCAGGGGAGGGTTTTCTGACCTTCCCACGAATGGCTGAACAGGGTTCTAAAAGGAGGTTGCAGTCGCAGACGCAGCAGAATTCTGGGAGCTGAAGTCCACAAGGCTTCAAATTGCCACAGCTACAGACCCCCCTGCCCTACCCACTACCCTACCCCTGATCCACTTCCCTCATGACGGGGAAGGGAGGAGCAGTTAGCTGAAGGTCCTGCTGATGAGATTCCCAAAGCAGACCAGCCGTGGTTAGAAACCATGGCAGCCTGGTATCTTCCACCACCGCCAGCCCTTATTCCGATCCTACTAGCAGCCTGCCCTACATTTGAGTAGCCTTTGACCTTTCTGCTGCTTGTTACTCTACACGTATTGCTTCAAAAAGAGAAAAAAGGCATCACAATTCTGACATTTGGAAAAGGGGGAAAAACATTTTATATATAAGTATCAGTTTCACAGCCTTAAAGTTGGAGGGAATGTTTGCATTTATAGAAAAATAATAATAAACCAGAAGATTTAAGTTTTAAACTGCGTGTAACTGTCAGCTGTTCAACTCTGGATGGAAGGAACTCCCCCTCCTCCTATAAAGCTTAAGGGAATCAAACCAGGGATGTAGCTGAGGTGGGCAAATGAAAGCAGAGACCCCACCTGCAAAGCTAGCCTGTTCCTGCCCTTGACACAAAAGAATAAATAACAAAGATAAACGTTACACCTAAAAGGAGAGGAAGCGAAACCTTCCCAGAGCCATCAAAACACTACACAAGGAGCAGCACAGATTCCTACATCCTAGCAGGAAGCAGAAGCAGACCCCACCTTCCCATTATGTGACCTTAAAACTAGGAGGGGAAAGGAGGAGGCAACAGTGCCCAACTCGGAGCACCTCTTCTTCTGGCAAGGCAGGAACGGCTAATAGGGACTGCCAGGTCAACCCTGCAATCCTACACTTAGTTTCGCTATCTTCCTCAGTGAACCAGGGAGGACCTCTGGCCCAACAAACTCTTCCAAACCCACCTGGGCTTGCCACCATCTGGACCCAGGCTCAAAACCAGACCCCTGAGGGTCCCTGCAAATGTGGATCAACACGCAGGGAGAAAGAAATACCCACGAGAAGAGGGAGGGCGGGAGGCAGCCAGACTCCATTGGAGGGTTAAGGGAAACTGTTGTGATCCTTCTCAGAGCTGAGGGACCACGCACAGCACTGGCCACAGGATTAAAGGACTGGGGGCAATTCCATAACCTGGTGGTTCCCCTCCCCCCCCCTTCTTGTGACAAAATTCAGGGCTATGCTCTTTGGAAGTCAGTGGGACTTTTGTCTGGTCAAAGGCTCTAGAGATACGGACATCTTGCAATAGTTGAAAGCAGGCGAGAATCCAAGCTCAGCCAAATGGGGCTGTCACTATCCCCACAGCTTCCCACACCAGCAGAGAGGCAGGGTTCTTCTGTGGACGCTGTGGCTTCCTTGCTGTGGACCCAGCGCAGAGTAAATCACCCAGGAAAAGAGCTCAGAAAAACTGCCCAGAGGAAGCGGTTCTCTCTCCATCAATACCCTGCCACAAAAACCCAAGAACCCATCCAACCTGCCCACTGGCCTGGACTGGCCCCAGGAAAGGAGGGGTGTGGGCAGAGGCACCGGCCAAGCCTAAGATGGGCCCAGAAAGCGAAACAAGGCATGGAAATGCCACCTTGCACAAGCAAACCTGGAGGGGAGAGCCCCTTGCCCGGGCCCACACCAACTGGGCTCCCACCTGCCTGCAACCCCGCTCCCCCGACTTCTCCAAGCAGGTTGAGATTCAGTGCAACGTGAAACAGTTCAAGGTCTTATGGAGGGAAGAAAGAAAGGAGAGCCTCTTGGGAGGGACAGACACTCCTTCCCAATCAGAGGGATTGGCCGCTATTCAGCTGGAGGCAGCTAAGGAGCGCAGAAGGGGCCAAGAAGGCCCCACACCCTCTAGGGGCACTCCCCACCCTTGGGCGAGCAGCAGTGTGCCAGGGGACGGATGCAGGGCCTGGCCACGGCCACTTGTGCAAACCTTCCACCAGGGAATCTGAGAGCCCAACGCACAACCCTTCTCCTTAGGACAGGAGGCGAGGCAAGGGGCAGGAAGCGGCAGTGGCTGTGGCAGCAACAGCAGGGGGTGCAGCAGGGTCTTCAGCCCATGAGGCCTGTTGCTGTGGAGAACCAAGCGGAAAAAGAGGCTCCTCATAGCCCTGGGCCCAGAGCAGCGGAGTTCCAGCACTGAGGAGAGAGGGGGAGCATGGTGGGGCCCTGCAGAGGCACCAGTTCTTCACCCCTCCCTCTGGGGACTGGACCCGTGGCCAAAACCTCCTGACTACGGGGTGACCCGGAGATTGTCCACCAGGGCTCCCCGTGGCACTCAAAGGTGGCTGAAGGGGTCCCTGTGCGCTTCTTGCCCCTGGCTCCGATGCATGGGGACTAAAACCAGGCCACAGAGGGGGAGGGCCTAGAGGCACTCCCAGTCACCCCTTTTTCTGAGACGGAATTGGAAGAGTCCCTGCAACCCGGGGTGCAGGAGGCACAGGCAGACGGAGGGCCCTGAATGGCAGAGTCGCTGGGGAGAAGCTCCCATCTCACCTGGCAAGCCGGTGGGGACCTGGGCCCTAGCAGGTGCACTGCTGCCGCGCCTGTGCCTGGCTGCTCCGTGGCTGCCGCGGCTGCCGCAAGGACGCATCCCCGTACTGGATCCCTGAGCCCATCCTCTCCGGGTCGAGCTCACCTGGTGGGGGAAGAGACGCTCAGGGGACACTGGCTTTGGCTAGAGTCACCCACGGCCCCCTCGGCCCCAGAGCCCCTTTGCCACGAGGGTCCACTTACCCAAAGAGAGTCCGGGCAGGCCCTCGGGCAGCTGCCTGGCCGTGGCACATCGTCCAGGCTTTGGGGGGCCACAATTTCAACCAGCTCAAAGCCATTTTGACCCAAACCCCTAAGTTGCGTCTTCCTGGCCCAGGCGATTGAGAGATTAACCAAAAGACTTACACTGCTGGCTGACTGTACCACAGTTTCCATAGTTCTACCTTCAGGACTCAGGCTGTTCATAAATCTGTTAAAAAAAATAAACCTGACCCACCTGATTCGATTTTATTCAGTATGGTCCGTGCACATTTCAGAAAAGCTTCTTCTACGTTTTCTCCAGTCAAGGCACTAGTCTCGAGAAACATCAGCTCTGCGGGGCGAGAAGAAGCCCCGGATTAAGACCGCTGCCATAATGTTTCAATGTATGTTCTGAACCCAGATCTGAGCTTGGTTAAAGCCGCAGATGGGTGTGAGGAGCCTTCCTGCACCCCAGCACAGAAGCCCAAACCAAGGGGTGGAGAGCGGGGATTACAGTCCGGCGGTCAATTGCATAAGTGGCCCAGGAAGGAAACTGAGAGCAACTGCTCCCCTCTCTCTCAACCCAGCAGCATCGAGGTGCTCCCAGGGAAAGCAAGGCTCCGGGGGTGGAGTTACACAAACACACACACACACACACTCACCATTCTCTTGAGCAAAACGAGAAGCTTCCAGAAAAGTAACTTCCCGGTCAGCATCCAAATCCTTCTTGTTGCCGCACAGAATAATTACAATATTGAGGCTAGCCAGAGTCCGGGCATCGGTTAGCCAATTGGTCAAGGCATTGTAGGTCTCTCTGCTGCAAGATGGAATTGACAGGCTGGATGCCAGGCAAGCAAACGCCTGCTGGGGAACTCAGGAAAGGCTTTGTCCCAGAGAGGGAAAGGAAACAGGTTTCTGCAGGGGCTGCTTCCCTGGCTTCCTCCTCCATATCCCTCTGCTGTCCTACCAGTAACTGACCCCTCCCCACAGCCATTCTGTATATGTCAAGATGCTCCTCTCCCCTGCACCATAAATGTCCGCTAAGAAACAGCATGGTAGCTTTTCTTCTACAATGAAAACTGTCTGTGGGGAGCCGTAGCAGAAACTTCACAGGAATTCCGATTGCCAAAAAGCAAGAGATGGGGGTACAACGCGCTCACCTCGTGATGTCATACACCAAAAGTGCCCCTGCTGCACCTCTGTAGTAGCTTCTAGTAACAGACCTAGGGAGAAAGTGAACAAGGCTTCATACAGGTCGGGCAGACTGGATGCAAAGCAAACTATTGAAAGGGCACTTGCGCATGCTAACTTGAACCTTATTTCTAAGTGGGTTTCTAGATGCTGAATTGTGCAGTTAGAGCCAAGATTACCCTGAAGGCAATCTATTCTGTAAGTACAGAGCATTTTCTAGGCCAACATGTGGGATAGGTTTGGATTCAAACTTGCAGACAAAGCACTCTTTGTTTCAGAGAAGACTTTGAAAAACTGGAATGGCATCTGAAGCCTTGCACAAATAAGTCTCAATGGGGAGGGAACCTTCCCCCCACGTAGCTTTACCTCTTTTCAAAAAGAACTTTAACAACTGAGGTATGGAAAAAATAATGCCAACCAGAAAATTCAACAGATCTTGCAAGCTGGGTGAATCAGAAGTACAATCCTTGCAGCACAGGCTCTCATGAGAATCTGCTTTATAAATATCCTACCACTGCAAATCTAAAACTAGTCACTCCAACCCCTTTAAAAATCCTTCCAGGTGCCCTTTCCCAGTTCAGCACTACCCAGGCTCGTCTCCCTGCTGGTGCTGGGCATGGAGAGCAGGGGTGTTCCTGCTTTCCCCCAAGGAGACCCCTTCTCAACGACTGGGGTGGGGGCTTCCCTCGCCAAAGCCCACAACGGCCGGACCCCTCAGCCCCAGCTTACCTGAACCGCTCCTGCCCAGCCGTGTCCCAAATCTGCAGCTTCACCGTTTTGCCGCCCACGGTCACCACCTTCGACCCGAATTCCACCCCGATGGTGTGGTTGGAGTCCTGCTTAACTGCCGGGGCCCGAGAGGGACAAGGGGGCAGCGGATCAGGCGGGGAAGCCCGGGGACTTAAACGGGGGGGGGGGGGGCTCAGAGAGCGACCTCTGTGGCTCCTCCGTCGCTCGGAGAGGAACCGGGAGGCGCCGCCTGCCCGCAGCCGGAGTCGGCTGGATGGGCGGAGCCATAGCCGCCCGGGGGGCTCCGGTCGGGGCCTTCACTCCCGCCCCCGAGCACCCCTGGCCGGCCCCCGCCCCGAACGCCGCGACGGCCAGGCGACTCACACTTGCTCTCGATGAACTGGTGCAGCAGGCAGGACTTGCCGGTGCCGGCGCTGCCGATCACCAGGAACTTGAAGAGGAAGTCTGCGGGGGAGACAGAGAGACGGGAGGCAGCCCTTGCAGAGGCCCCCGCCGAGACCCCCTCCAGCCCCGCTGCGACCCCGCCGCCCACGCACCGTAAGTCTCCGACATGGCGAGCGACGCGGCGGCCCTCACCCCCTCCTCCGCCCGCCCGCCCGCCGGCCTCGTCGCGCAATATGGCGGCGCCCAAGGAGCCGGCCGAGACGGGCGTCGCGGGGAGAAGACGTCAGCGGCCAAGCCAATGAGAGCGGAGGCTCAGGCCGTGCCGCCAATCAGAGGAAAGCTGCTTGGACGGAGGTTATAAAAAGGGTAGCGCGTCGGAAGGAGCTCAGACCGCCCAGTGGGGCCGTGGGGGGGACGTTGAGGTGGTGCGTCTCCGTGGCTCGTTGTGGACTTCTCGCTCCCGTCTGCCTTACTTCAGCCGTCGATCGAATGCGTTATTTGGGTGGCTCCGCGAAACATCACGGCTGCCTCTCGGCCAGAAAGGCGCTTGCCTGCCTCCCTTCCAAGGTCTCCGGGGTGAAACCCGCGCGCCGCCTTCTCTCCATCCGAGCATTGGTGGTCCGAGCAGGGCCTGGCCCTAACCCTCCGCATGCGAAGTGTTCCCTCCCTCCAGCCAAGGCCTTAATCTGCCTTCACGTTTGATCAATATCTCAGCCTAAAACAGCCCTATGCTCTCATGTACTCACTCACTCGGGTGGTTGGGCCAGGAGATCGGGGACAATGAAGGAACCAAGGCCAAGCCACAAAGGGCAAAATGCGCTGACTGGCAGCAGAGGCCCACGTGTAGACACAGACTGGGCAGCCCACCTTGGCCTGGTGGAATATTTCCCCGCCTGTGGGGAGACACTGGGAATGTGGCTGGACCCTCTTTGCACCTCACTGAGCCTTTCCCCTCCTGCCCCACAGGCTCCTGCAAGCCCGCTCTGGGAGACAAGTTGCTCTTGGCACGAACACCCTGTCTTTGCCAGGGAAACAGCCATGCCCGCCAGGTGCTCAGGGACAAGGCACAACAAGGCACTTCCTCCTGAGTCCTGCAGCAGGCAGGGAGAGGGAAGGGTTCCGAGGGTATTTAGGGATACATAGGAGCTCCCCACCCCCTCAGCAAATCTTGAAACCTAGATAAGTGAACCCTAAGAAGGGCCAGCTGGGTCTGGATGTCTTACCTCCCTCTCCTCATCTGGCATTCTTTATCTTGAGCAAGTCAGCGCTGTTGTGTGAGTCACCCGTTTTGGATTGGGCAGTTTTCAGGACTGGGGGAGTTAGAAGCAGGTTGGCCTGAAAGAGCCTGGATTGACGGCAGGTGGCAGAAGGGAGGTTGAACAGCTGCTACTCTTAAGTATACATTTCCTCCCTCATTATGAACAAGCTTTACTTCAACCCCTGCTCCGGTTAATACTAACCTTGAAAGCTACATTACATCTTGCAAAGTGCATGATGCTGCCCAGGCCATAGACTTAATTTTTAGTGCTCCTCCCGTGTGCAGAAAGCTCTTCTTTACTAGCACTGATGATGTTACCTAGTTTGGGTAACGAAACCAGCTCAGAGAGCGCCGTGTTCTTCTCACAGAATACCTCCACCTCGGGGTTCAAGGAAGGGTATGTTCCCAAATACTTTGTTTAGGGGAAAATACATTTAAACAGATAATGGTTGTAAAGAAAATGCAGAAAGAAAATATTTAGTGAAAAAAGCCCAGGGAAATGGAAATATTGCATCACTTCAAACTGTTTCTTTCATAAAGATATTAAGGCAGGGCGATCAACTGGCACTGGGCACTCCAGTCTGTGAGGCTGCACTGATTACAGATGGAAGATCAGCAGGATAAAGAGAGGCTGGGATTAATAAGGCCCAGCCTCATCCCTAAGGGATCCCAAGGTAGAGAAGAGGTCTAAAAGTCTGAAGGCTACGCCAGAACAAGGGCTCTGAGATTAAGGCCTGGGATTGGCCTATCGCATGTCATTCTTTTTTAAAAAAAAAAAAACAAGGCAGTTAGCACTGTTCTCTGAGGCATTTTGTTAACCATATTTTTTAAAGCATGTCATTTCACTTCTAAAAATCATACCATTGGATGATGCATTTCTGTTTATAATAAAATCAGTTCCTTGGTCAAAACTTTGCACTGTCATTTGGGATGACAATGACCACAGGCGCTCCAGTTAGTTCTGCCCCTGGAGGACCCAGGGCCATTTCTTCCATCCTTCCCTCGGCACTTAGGAGGAAGAGCTTGAAGCTTTTGCTGCAAAGGGCAGGCTGGGGAGGGGCATCGCCCTGGGCTTCTGGACCCCCGACCCAGGACCAATGCTCCAGTTCATGAAGGATCCCGGCATCCCTGGGGCGGGGGGAGGGAGGATGCTGACCCCAGCACTACCATACACAAACGTACTTGTTCCACCAGTCTTTGGAGAGGGCCCAGATGCAGCTGGGGGGGGCCCTCTGCCCCTTGGGGCCTTCACCGGCCCGCAGCCCTAACACAATAGCAGTGTCAAAGACCTCCTTCAGATTCTGCTGGGTGAGGGCCGAGCACTCCACGTAGCCGGCCATGCCCAGCTTCCTGGCCAGAGACCGGGCGGCCGTAGGAGGCACCGGCTTCTCCTGGTGCCGGGAGAGGGCAATCAGCATCTTGACATCCTGGCGCAGGTCTGACTGGGTCCCCACCAGCAGCACCGGGGCGGAAGGGCAGTGGCGACGCACCTCCGGGTACCACTTGTCCACAATGTTCTGGAAGGACGTGGGTGCCACCACGCTGAAGCAGAGCAGGCAGACATCGGCCTTTGGGCAGCAGGCCTGCCACAACGCGTCAAATTCATCCTGGCAGCAGAGCAGGGAAGGGTACAGCGTGAGGGGAGGCTGGCCACTCCCTCCTAGAGTTCCCTCCCAGTCCACTCCAGGGCTCAGCCTTGGCCTTTGCAAATAGATGCTTAGGGAAAACCCGACTGGAAGCCTGGCCAAAGTTCAGGTTGGATGCAACACCAACATCACAGGTGGCTTGGACAGGAGGCCTTTAAAGCCCCATCCCCAGCCTCCTGTGAACAGGCCAGAGAAGTCCAGTTGCTCATTGCACAAATAGTGTTGTAAACATTGGGACATTGAGTGTGTCCGGGTGTGTGCAGAGTGCCTGTCTCTGCCCCCCCCCCCTCCTGGGGGGATGAAAAGAAAGTGGAGGCCAGCGAAGACCCCACCCCACCCAATCTCTTCGGAGACCGATTTGGTGACCGGGGTGTTTCCCAGGTGGGAGTCAAGCAGAGCCGGGCCCAAAGAGAGCAGGGCCGCCCCCCCCCCCGCTCCGTTGGGGATCCCGCCCGGGGGAGGCTGCGGCTTCCAAAGGACCCCAGGAGCCACAGCCGCGCTCGCCGGATCCACTTTTGCGAGGCGCCTTGAGCCCAAGGCCGTCGATCCCGGCCGCGAGAACAACGCCGCGCGCGGCAGCCTGAATTCCTCGGCTGGACAAGCCCTTACCTGCCCGGCCGTGTCGCACAGCTGGAGACGGATGGGGGCGCCGTCCACCTGGACCACAGCTGGGGAAACACAACAGGCGCCCCGCTTAGCCGACAGAAGCGGGAGGGGACCCCCCTCCTCGCCGGGCCTCCCCAAAGACTCTGCTCCGGCGCCCCCGGGCCCTCCGCCCCCCTGCGCACGCGGCGCCGGCCCAGGGCAGCGCCCTCCCCGTGGCGGAGCCGCCGCGACGGTACCGGAGAAGCGGTCGAGGGCCGTGGGCACGTAGCGCGCGGGGAAGCCGTTGGAGCTGTAGCTGAGCGCCAGGCTGGTTTTGCCCACCGCGCCGTCGCCCAGCAACACGCACTCCAAGCCCCGCAGCGGCCGCCACCGACGGGGTCGGGGTCGGTGCGGCGGCACCGGCGGCACCGGCATCGGCGAACCGTGGGAGGGCGGCGGCGACTGTGGCGCTCGGCGGCAGCTGGAAGGCGAGAAGCCTCATTTGCCTGGCCACGCCCCCGGGGCGCGGACCTCCAGCACCTGCACCCGGGACCCGCCGGCCTCGAGCACGCCGCCGCCGGCCCGAGGGCGGGGGAGGGAGTGGCCCGTCCGCGCCTTCGAGTAGGGGGCGCCGGCGAGCGTCGGCTTCTTCCCCCTCCGCGCTCCCGGCGGTCCGCCAGGCAGCGCAGCCCCGGGGGAAGGCGCTTGGCCTCCCCGCCCAGGAAGAAGTCCAGCTCCCCCAGCCGCACCGCGGAGGGGGCTTGGTGCTCTGCCCGGGCAAATCTGGCGAGGTCGCCCAGGAAGGCAGCACTCTGCTCCTGCTCAGAAGCCAGATCTTCCTTCGTGGTCCCGGGTCGAGATCCCATCTAGGCTTTCCCGCGTGAATCGAAAACATCTCTCCCCCCCGCTAAGCCTTTTTATTTTGAGGTTGGGGCAGTTTCCCCTCCTTTTCCTCTTCCTGGGGTTGGGGTGTCACTGCAGGAAACGCCCGACGTTTGTCTTGGCAGACTCCCGATCTGCTCCCAGCATGCCCTGCCCCACCCCCACCCGGCGGATCCTGCAAAACCCGTTTGGCAAGGAACACCTCCATCGCCCTGGGCAGGGATCCCGAAAGGGAAACCGCGGAGCCGGGCAAGAGGCAGGCAAACCTCAGGTAGCCCAGCCAATCCTGGGTCTTGGGAGCACAGAACCCACCCGGCCCCCCTCCTCCCCCCAGGGAGTCTCCAGGCCGGCGCTGGAGGCAGGCAGAGCATCTGATTAGACTTTGGGCAGCAGGAGCTCCAGTGCCACCTGGCAACCCCTCCCGCCTGGCCCGCCAGGAAGCCAAAGCTGGGAAGAGCTGAGCTTCGGCTGGGGACCGATGACCCCTCCCTATTCCTACTTGGGTCTAGGGAGGGGGCCCTTTGGGGTGGGGGGGAGTTAGCCATGAGAGCCAGAGCAGATCTGTTATTCAGAGACAGGCAGAGGAGTAGCATCCACTGGGTGAAGCCCCCCTGGGGATAAAGCCTCTTCCTGAAGTCTTGAGTGGGATACAGCCACCCCCCACCCCCCACCCCCAAAGGGATGCCCCAACCCTGTCAGGCTCTTGCAAGGCCCTGGAGACCTGACCGTTTCCCAGTCGCTGCTCCAACTGGAGTGGTTGTGACCTTGGGTGATCTGTCTTCATCCCTGCGTGCAATTGAGAATAAACACCCGCCCTTAAGCAGCGCCTGCAAGGGTTCCCTTTCTTGGGGATTAAGCCCCACCCAGCGACGGTTCAGACTTTGCAAGACTTTGGTAATTCTTGGTCTTTGAAGCCCCCCACCCTCCTGAGTTCAAACTGAGTTTGCCCACTCGGGTTCAAACTAAGTGTTCAATCCAGCATCTGCCCTGGCAGTTCTGCAGCAGCATAAAATCCCCTCTGGAAAGACCGCACCTTTGCTCTCAACCGGAGACAAACAACGCCTCTTTTATGAATTACGCAGCACTGCCAGGCAAGCTTGCCACAATAAGCCAGCTTGGAAACTCAATCAGCCAGGTGGGATCAGGGCCCAAGCTCCCCCCACCCCCGTGGGGCAACTCCTGGCTTGGCCTGTGGTGGGACAGAGGGGGCAGAAAAGGTTTCAGGGGCTTCCACAGCAACAGCCCAAATAACTGAGACCCACCAGCCTCTGGTCAATGAGACCCAAAGCCGACCGGAAGAAGGAAGGACCAAGTTTATTGCCCAAAGGAAAAGCTCCAGGTGCAATGTCTGGCCGTCAGACTCTGGGTACAAAGCTTTTGCCAGGAATCGGCTGCTCCTTCCACTCCGCCTGCCTCTCTTTCACGCGTCCATCCACTCGCGCACACACACTTACCTGCACCAGAGGCAACATTAGAGAAACAACATAAACCATTTTACAGGCAGACACTAGGAAAAAAGGCCAACAGTTCAGGAAGGGCCCCCGCCTCAGGAAGGGGCCTCACTTCTTGGCGAAGGAGATCTTCATCGCGTTGTTCTGCGTGATCTTGAACCCTTGCAGGGCATCACGGGCGGCACCGGCCTGCACCTCATTGTCGAATTCAACGAAGGCAATGTCGTGGCGCCCGGGCACCAACCGGACCTCCTTGAAGCCAGGGAACCTGCAGCAAAGCAAAGCGAGCTCGATCTGCGAGGGTGGCGTCCCTCCTCTCTGAGGGAGAGGCGAGAGGCTCACGTCCAAAGGGGGGGGTTCTTGCACAGAGGGGGGGGGCTTGCGGGGGGCACCAGGATAGGAAAGGCTGGTGCGTAGACCAGGGAGGGAAGCCCAACCTTCCACCCCAGGCAGCCCTTCGCTGCCAGCCCTGCCCGGTCGCCCTCCCCCAAAGCGCCACCACCGAGCGGGACTTACTGATTGAAGAGCATGGAGAGCATCAGCTCGTTCGTCTCCTCGGGAAGGTTGGTGAGGAACAGGATGTGGTTAGGCGGATTCTCCGACAGCTGCAGAGAACAAAACCATCTCACCGTTCGGAGCGCTTAAGGCCCAGGAAGGGGCAGCCCTCGGACCCCCTTACCAGACGGGGAGCGAGACACAGACCCCCCCCCCGTGGGTTCTACTCGATTAACCAGCCCAGCCCAGCCCAGCCGGGCCCGGGCCACTCACCTGCTGTGCTGTGGCCATCTGTCCTGGCAGCATCTGTTGTGGGGGCATCGCTCCTGGGGGAATGGAGCCTGGTGCCATGCCAGGGGGCGGCATCATGCCTGGAGGGGGCATGTAAGGGGGCTGCCCTGGCATGTGATGCATCACACAGGGGGCCTGGTTCATGGGGGGCATGCCCTGAGGAGAAAGCAAGGGGGGCGGTTCACGCCGGGCCTCCCTCTTGAGCCTCCGCAAAGCCAGCCGCAGGGCCCTCCAAAGAGCAGGGACACGGACTCCCTCTTGCGGCGGCCATCGGAAAGCCAGCACGAAGCCCCCAAAGAGCCCTGAATCGCAAGACGAGGCCAGGGAAGGGAAAAGTCCGTCCTTTCCCCTGCTTTCGTTAAAGGTGAAGCCACCCCCACCCCCGCACACACCCTCGGCCGGGGTCTGGGTTCCACCTTGGAGAAGAGCATCCGGAAGGAAAGCAGACTTGTTTCCCCAGAACCAGCTGGCCCCAAAGTGCCCGGCGGCAGGCACTCACCGGCACGGTGCCCTGGACAGAGGGGGCAACTGGGCCGGCTGCTCCTGGCATCTGCTTCTTAGCTGCTTGCACCTCCTGGCCTTTGGGCTTTCGCTTCTCTCTCTTGCGGTCCCGCTCCACAAAAGTGCCCTTCATCTTGGCTATGATGTCAGAATCTGCCTTGGCATACTGGATCCTCTGGGTATGGAAAAGAAGCACCGAGTTACCTGGCGCCTGGCCAGCACACTCCCAAGCTTCCCTGGGTCACCCTGGCAGAAAAGGCCATCTTGGTGAAGCCCCCTGGGAGTTCAGAGCCCCGTGGCCGACTGCAATTCTATCTCCTTTCTCAGGAGAGCGGCCTGCCTTCCCTTCCTCCTGAAGCCAAGAACGGTAGGGACTCACCATGGGCTTGTCGTAAAAAGGGAACCCCTGCATGGACCGTAAGGCGTTGGTGGAGCTGCATATCTCCTTGAAAATGACAAAGGCCTGGCCTCTCATTTTCAGGTTGCGGGACACCAGAATGTCGAGAATCTGTCCAAACTGGGAGAAAATGGCATAGAGAGACTTCTTGAGCTCTGTGGGGGAAAAAGGAACATTTTAAACTTTCGCTCTATGCTCTGCGGTTGTATTTCCTGCAGTCAAAACACAAATTGGTTACTGTGTTTTTAACATTCTTCAACTGAGGTTTGGGACAGTTATTGTCCTTCCATAAATACCAGGAAAAGAATAAGCAAAATTTGCACACAAAGTACAGGTGCTGCGATATACGCTCACCTGCTCCAAATATGCTTCTTCCTTTCCAGAAGAATCTGGGAACCCAAAATAGACCACCAATGTGGGAACTGCACCCCTTCTAAGGCAAAATGCCCACCCCTAAAGATACACCGCATTACCGCTGAAGTAACATCTCCGACTCACCATCTTTCTTGATTTTCTCGTTGAGATTGTTGATGTAGATGGTGTGGTTGGACCGGGCTTCTGGGACCGCCATGACAACTGCAAAGCTGAGGCTGTGGCGAGTGGAAAGATTCAACCAAACAAAGTAATTAATTCTTGCATTAAAAGATAAAAGCGAGAGAAAAATCTTAATTAGGAGAGAGCTGAACTGCAACACTCAGCCAGCCGCAAGGAAATGGCCACCAGCCCTCCGACACGCCACAGAGGAGGACGGAGGAGCCAGTGGATCCCGGTGACTGAGACGGCGTAGCTGGGAGCGGAAAGGAGACCACTCGGTAAAGCATGACGTGGATGGGAGGCCACCAGGTTGCCTTGATGGGAGGGGCCGCGCAGAATACAAGGAAAGCGCCCGCCTTCTCTTTGGAGCGCACTAAATGTTGTCGCCTATTGGGTGGGATCTACCCGGGATTTATTTTTCTTCCAAGAAAACGCGACTGCCGCTTCCCCTTCCCTCCACTTCTCCCTTCGAATTCCGTTGGAGCTGCGACGGCTGCTACACCGGATGCTCGGGCTCACGCGCCTCCTTGGCCTCTCCGGCTTCGGGAGGGTCCGGAACAACGAAGAGTCCGGTCCGCGCCGCTGCCCCCGACGGCGCGCCTCGCCCCCAGCGACACCCCACGCGTGGATGGCGCCTCGCTCGCCCGATCCCTCACCGATCCTGCGCAGGCCGCGTCAGGTCGCCCACAAGCGCTCCCGCCGATCCTTCCTCGCGTCCTCCACTATTGGACGATCGCTAGCCAATCACCGCTGGGAGATGATGACTTCCTCCTGCCTCGCCAACCTCCAATGGCCAGCGTGCCTTACCTTTAGTCCCGCCCCAAATGGGTCCGGGTTAGAAAGCCCTCTTTCGGGATATAGCCTGCCCATCATCCCAGCCGCAATGTTCGATTGGTTGATTACAAGTCGGTCCAAGATTGGCGCGCCACACGCTGGAAAATCCTCCCTGACGCGAATGGATGACGGAATCCGAGTGCCGCCTGACTAACCAATGGAGATTCGGCCGAAGGCTCGTGACCTTTGACCCGCTAGGTTTGCGGCGGCATGGCGGAGGCCGTGCGGAGTTTGGCGGGGAAAAGTCCCCCCGCGCCCCCGCCCCCGCCCCCGCCCCCTCCTCCGCGGGGCGCCGCGCTCCTCCTGGCGACGGCGCAGGAGGCGGGCGGCCTCGGGGACCTGGACGGCGTGAGAGAGCTCCTGCTGCGGCAGAAGTCCCGGTAAGGCCGGGCCTGGCCTCCCGAGCGCGGCCGCCCTTGAGCCCGATGCTTCGGGGACGGCGAGAGCGGGAAGGGCCGCTGGTGCTCGGCGGGGCTCTGAGGCTGCCTCCCCGCTCTGTTGCAGGTTCAGCCGGCATCTGACGTGGCTGCTGTTCCTCCGCCCGGTCCCGTCCCTCATCCAGGAGGGCCCGCAGTGAGTATCGCCCGGGGTGGCGGGTAGCGCGTCCTAAGGGAGCCGGAGGAGCCGGGGCCTTTGGCCCGTCTCCCCCTTTGGGGCGGTCTGAACCTGCCGGCATATAGAGAGTGGCAGATCTGGGATGGCTTCCCTCTGACAACAGGCGACGCAAAGCCTCGGCCTTTCTTCCTCCTGCAGGTGTGGTTTGGTGGCCCTTTGGATGGCCGGCGCTCACCTCTGCCTGCCATCTGAGGTTCCCCTGGAGAGAATTAGGCAGGTGGCTCTTGTGAGAGGCTACACGGCACAAGGAGAAATGTTCTCAGGTCAGTAGCTGAGAAGCACAAACGGGCAAATCTGCCAGGGCTGTGGAGAAGGGAGGAGGCTGCTCATCTGCATCCTGTTATGCAGGGCGCCAGTTGGGTTAGGGGCTCCTTTGTCACGGCTCCAGCATTCCCTTTGTCACCTCCCCCCCAAGCCGCTGACATGGCCAACCTGGCGGAGGAGGTCTTCTCCTGTGAAACAGAGCTGCTCTCTGGAGGCCTGCAAGGACAGAACCACGACAGGATTCTTCAACATCTCGGTGCTGGCTTCCCTGTGCTGATACCGTATCCTTCTCTAGGGAAGCGTTTCCTTTCCATTTCCTTCAAGATTTCTCTGAAGTTTGAAACTGTTTACTGAGAAAGCAGAGACTTTCAGTTGGCCTCTTGCTAGCGGGGGAAGGGGTGTTTTCCCAAAGGCAGCCAATGCCACAGGGGGGCTTTCTCTTGAGCCAGGCCGGACCTTAATGCCTACCGCAGCTATGATGAGGACTACAACCATGAGCCCTGCCTCCGGAATGGCTACAAGGCTCATTGGGCTGTGGCCTCTGGTATGCTCTGCTGGCTAGCTGTCCACAAGGGGGTGCTGTTGCCACGCCGGAATTGTGGGTTGTGGTTCATCTCTGGGTATCCCAGAGAGGCGGCTGGTGCTTTGCTTTTGGGGGAGAAACGTGGCAGAATGGCATAGCCCGCCCATGTCCCTGGATGGGGATTCTGGGAATCTTGGTCCCAGCACAAGTGTGACCAAGTTGGGCGAGGGGGGGCGGGCAGAGATTCTAAGGCATCTCTGTCATGGGAGGGAGGTCGGTTGGGAAGGACAGATTTGACCAGGGATGGGGTTAGATTTCAGCATCAGGACCGGCCTGCATGGGCACTATAAAGATAACCCCCTCTTCCCTCTCCATTCAGCCGTTCCATTGAGGGCCCAGAAATCTCCCCCTCCCCCCACCTTATTTCTTTCCCAGGAGCTCTGCTTGGCCTGAAGAGTGATTCCCACCTGCCTGCCTGCCAGGAAGACAAGGACATCCCGGGGCTCTTCCACGCCAGCCACACGGCTTCAGCCGTCCCTTTGGAAGCCGTCACCGAGACCTACTTGCTCTCCAAGCAGGGCAAGAGTTGCCGCTACCAGCTGTGGAGTTATGCTCAGATACAGCAGAGCAATGCTCAGCTGACGGGCTTCAGTCCCAGGCGGGCGGCTGATGGAAAAGTGTACGTTGTGCCTGCAGGTGGGGTGCAAGAGGGACTGTGTGGACAAGCAGTGCTGCTGCAGCCAAGGCCATGAGGGTGCTCTGGTGGCACCAAGTCTGCGCTGAAAGAAGGCTGCACCTGGCTTTGCAGAAGTGCTGCGGGGCTGTTAAAGGGACTTAGACAAATGCATGGGAACTGCTCACATCTAGCAGTGCCTTGAGAGAGGGACATTAGGAGGCAAGGAAAAGAGGTTCCCCTCCTCACAGAGCTCCAGGACACCTGGACATGGATGGGGAAAGACAAGCTTATACTTGAAGCCCATTTATGCCAACCAACCTGGCGTTAGAACTTTGTGTTTCAGTAGAAGGAAGAATGGAGGAAATAAGACTTTGGGGTGGCTTACGTTTCGTCTCTGCAGGGGGCTTTTTGCCTCCAGAAACTAGAACAGCTGTTCTGATTAGTAACGAGCCCAACTTTGCAGTTGTAAGCAGGAGGGAATAGAAATGCCGGTGTGAAAGTCAAGTGACCACAAGCCTTTTTGCCCCGCTGCTGCTGCTGCTGCCGCTGCTATTAATAAAGGAGCACAACTCTGCGTGGCACTTTGGGCCCTCGCTGGCTGCGTCTCTCTCTTAGCTGTTGTAGCTCCCTCCCTCTTTACTGCCGGCCCTTCTGCCTGACTTTTAAAACAGCCTCTCCTTCCTCGTTCTGTGCCAAGCGACTGCTAGAAATGACCTCATGGGGATGCTTTGAAGCACCCTCCTCCCAGGAGCCAGCAAGTCAAAGGTCACTTTGAGTTTGAGATGGTCTTTCTAGATTTTTCTTGGATTACTTCCCTAGGCTCACCTAAGCTGGTTTACCTAGAGCAGGGGTCCCTAGCCATAGCCCACCTACCAGACCGTGGCCTAATCGCCACTGGGCAGGAGGGCCAGCGTTTCCCCGTGCGTGCCTGCAGCCCCACTCGCGTGAGCATCGCAAGCACTTGCGCACGTGCACATGCCCCTCCCAGTCTGCCAGCCCGGAAACTGACCTAGAGTGCCAGCCGTGGATCGCTTGAACGTATTTATGCATTTAATCAAACTTACGCCCCGCCCCACCCCTGATGAGGAAAGGGAAAAGGAACCATTTCCATGATGATGTTTCTATACATGTTCACATGCAGCGCGTGGCATGGAGGTTCTCCAGCCAAGTTGCTTTTTCAAGCATGGGAGGGTGCCCAGGAGGGCTTTGCACCATAAAACTCAATGTTTCTATACGCTGCTCACGTGGAGAAGAGTGGCTCCTTCCGGGGTCCTTGCATCTAGCTAATTTGATTTGATTGATGGGTGGTTGAGAAGCGCCCCCTCTTTTAAGAAGAAATGTTGACCTTGCTACTCTTCAGTCTGTTCCTTCCGCCCGTTCAAAAATCGCAGCTCTGCTGCCTTCTCGGAGTAACGGCATTCTCTGTACATGGGATTGCAGCTTCTAAGGGACACCTCAGGACCCCAGCTGTCCTGGAGGCATCTGGCCTTCCACACTTCCCCAAAGATTGACCGCTGGGCATTCAGAATGCTGCCGGTTCTCTGGGTAGCTGCAGTCCAGTCCTAGACATTCCTGGGGTTTCTTAGGATATCTGACTCCTCTTGTTACGTGGGGCTTGTGTCCATGGCGCGGTCTGGTTTTTCCAGCATGTTTTGCATGATTGCCATGAGGTTTTCCAAGCCCCACAAGTATCCATCTTCACGGTTGCCTTCCACCCAAGGCAGCCGGTGGGTCAGGGTCTGTTTGTCAGGCAGCGGCACCGTCTTGCCAAAGTCAATCATGCAGACTCTGGCAAGCCCCGTTTTGTCATGCACAAAAAGGAGAGAGCTACCTACCACCTGGAAGCAGAGAGAGAGAGAACTCAGGGCCGTGAAGGTGCCAGACAGATGCCCATCTGGTTGGCAGGAAGATGCCCGAAAGTGTGTCTTAGCAGAGTTGCTCCAAGGAGCATCTAAACAGGGTTTACTGAGCCAGCCCAAAGTATCAAACCAGAAGGGTGCCACTGCTTGTTAATCCTAATGTGCCACCCTAGCCAGAAAAGGCACCCAGATAACGGGACAAGGCTGCCCTTCTGGAACGTTCTCCCCAAAGAAAGGCAAAAGCGCACCTCATGGGCCTTGAAGAACTCGGACTGATCCAGTGCCACTCTCACCTCCTCCAGCTGCTCCAGGTAACTGCTCTAGGGAGAAAGGAACGACCTTGGGGAATGGAGCAGCTACAAGCTGGGCCAGGGGTCTTCCCACTGACCCCCCTGTACGCGAAGAGGCTTGGATGACTAATGGAGGCCCCTAACTCAGCATGGAGCTTCATGTGCCAAAGCACCAAAGCTGCTGCATCCAATTCAACTCCAGTGAGAGGCTCTGTTTCTGGGACTGCTGGGCCCACAAAGCCACCACCAGGTGGGGTAAACCTGCAGCAGATTCCCAGGTGGGGCTGAAGGACCACCCAAGCCCTGTCTTCCCCTGGGCAGGAACTGGATGCTCACCAGAAGGTGTTTGTCCTTGTCCAGGAAGTCCCAGAAGGCCTCCACGAGCTGCTCAGGTTGCCGGGTCTTCTTAAAGCTGGTGCTGCAGGCGCCACTGGCTGTCTGGGGGTATGGAGGGGTGCGGGAGGAAGAGCCTAGTCAGTCTTTACCTAGACTCCACAGGAAGGAGGAAGCCCTGTGGAGACGGCTCTAGGAGCAGAATCTCGCTGGTCTGGGGGCTCCCTCCCCGCTGCTTGTGTCCCGGGGGAGCCAGCCCAAGCCTCCTTTCCCAGGGCACAAGGCATGCTTGGTTCTGGCAGGAATCCCCTCGGGTCTTTCCCCAAACAGAGTATCGGGTGGCAGGGAGACGGGGCAAGAGAGCCGCCAGGATCCAACGGGGGAACACCCCCTCCCCAACCAACGCTGGGCTTCCCGGGCAGCCAAGCAGGGGCGCTTAGCTTCCTAATGAGAAGCCCCCACTCACCTTGACGCCCTCGATGCGGAACCCGAGTGAACTGGTGGAGCTGAGCGACTCCCTCCACTGCATGTAGCGGGGCTTCAGCACGCCGTGCTGGGCGTGTTCCTCCGGCGTGGGAGCCGAAGGGTCCACTGCCATCATCTTGTCATACATGTCATGGCGGAGGCAAGGCTGCTGCCTCGCCTTCTCCAGCTCTTCCTCCAGGTACGTCCTGCACGGGGCAGGGAGAAGACGGGACCCTTGGAGGCGTTTGTGGGGCAAAGCTCTCTGGAAGATGCAAGGGGGCTGCCCGCTCCCCACCCCAGACCCCCCCGGGGGCCAAGGGCGAGTCGAGTCCCCCAACGGGGAGCAAAGGACGGCTCACCTGACCCCCATCTTGCAGTCCATGATGGAAGGGTTCTCGAAGCCGCACAGCAGGTCCTCCATCCGAATGTAGGGCTCCCCATCGTGCTCCACCATCCCATAATATGCTGGGACGTAAGGCTGCAGCGCATCGCCTCCCAGGCGCTCCAGGCACTGCTGCTCGTTGGAGCAGTGCCTCTTCCAGACGTGGCCCAGATCCCCGGCCTTGAAGTTGCCTGAGCAGGGTGGAGGGGTTGTGGGAGGGAAAGCTCAGCAGGCGCCCCGCTGGGGCCTCGCCCCCTGGGCTTCCTCCTCCCAGGGCAAGAGCCGCTCTTTACCTGCATGGCCAGCGAGCTGAACCCAGGGGTAGCGCTTCTGGAAGGAGACCAGGCCGGGCGACCACTGCACCGGCCCCTTCCGCTTCTTCCAGGGCTTGTTCTGCAGACACAGCGAAGGGCAGAGGATGAGCGGGAGGGAGTCTGCCCCAGATCCAGAGACTTCTGGGCCGAGGAGTGGGACTTTGGGGGAAAGAGAGGAAGTGTCTCGCTCCCGTCTTGGAGCTTGCTGGAGTCAGGCTGCCCAAGCAGGTCGCCGTGGTGACCCGGCTCCTGCAAGCATGGGAACAGCCGGCCCGGTACAGAAGAGCAACCCTGGAGTGGAGGAGGAGCACCTGCTCTCCCGCCTACGTGAGCCTCCCACGAAAGAAAATGGCACCATGTCCCCAGCGGAGGCCAAGCAGGTCAGGAACCTGAAGGGAAAATAAACTTGGAAGGGCATGGAGCTCATTGGCTGATGAGCCCACCTCGCAGGGTTGTCGTAGAGCAAAACAGGACCGCCATGTTTGCTTCCTATGATTCTTGGAGAAAAAGCACGTAGGATGTATCAATAACAACCTCTTTATTATTTTCTTCACAGCAATGAGTTCCAATGTCTTGAATGTCTCCCTGTTTTCTTTTGAGATAATTTCAGAAACAGAACCAAGGGGCCCAGGAGCAGACCCTTCTTCCCCGCCCCCCACCCGTACACCCCCAGAGCAGCCCCCACGTAAACTGGACCCAGCAGTGGGGAAGATCCTGCTTGGAAGACCTTAGAGAAGGTAGAGAGATGCCAGAGCAGCCGGGATGGGGCGGGGTTGAATACCACAAAGATGTTGCTTTTGTTATATCACAGGGTGGAAATGCCCTCCACAGAGGCACCTTTTTATCTACCCTGTCAGGACCGGGGTGGGTGGGGAGGCCAGGCAGGAGGAGGACCTGTCTCCTGGCCACACCCCCATCTGCACCAGCTGACGAAACCTGTTCCCTCCGCTGAAAAACGCACCAGTTCCCAAACCACGATGGGGAGCAGAAACCGGCTGGTGCAGGAGCCCCGCTGCCTCCTATCATGCAGAGCTCCTCGGGGCTCCTGGGCAGGAAAAAGGGGGAGGGCGCATCCTGGAAACCAGCTCTGGAAGACAGCCCAAAATGCCCACCCCCCCCCCCCCGACAGGTTTGGCTGGTTGGCACAGGACGGGCAGCAGCCGCAGCCGCAGCAGCTGGGATGGCCCTGGCAGGTGCCACGTTTCCCATCCCCCTGGGGAAGAATGGCCCGAGGGCACCTGCAGCACGGCTGAAGCCAGAGCCAAGCAGCCCCACCACCCACAGCCCTTCAGAAGCCCTTGTGAGGCAGCCCCTTCCTTTCTCCTGCCCAGGACAGGAAGCCCCTCCCTGCAGCTCTGAGGAGCCCCTGGGGAGGAGGGGGACACTCGCCAGAAAGGAGCCCCTGTCCGGCTTCCGCATGACTTCCCCTAGGCCAGGAACGCTGGCTGTCCAGCCAGGGGAGGTGGGCACCTACCCAGCCCCAAGGTGCACGCAGCCAAAGCACTGCTTTCCTGGCCACGCCCCTTGGCATGATGCTGATGGCACCGTGCCCCCCCCCCCCGCTTTTCCTGGAAGCGGAGAAAGGAAGGGCAGGGAGAGGAGACAGCAGGTTGCTCAGCAACCTGGGGGCGTTGCAAGGAATTTTCCATGGCAGGCAAAGTGGAGAGCAAGAGGACTGTCAACAGACGAAGTCATTGTGGAGCAAGACGTCTCTGCCCTGGAGGCCCTGACGGTGCACAGGCTCTGCTCAAGTCGGAGGAGGAGGGCGATCTGGCCAGACTCTCGCGCTGAAACGTGCCTCATAATTCGGGCACCCTGTGGTGTCCCTCATGCGGGAGGGCCAGACTGGACCCTGCAAGGTGGGCCGAGTGAGGAGCAGCGTCTCCACGCCACGCCTGACGGACAAGCTCCAAAGGGCTGGGTGTGCCATGCGAGGGGTGGCCCTTGAAAGTCATTGCTGGGAGCCCCTTCTGCCCTCGGAGAAAAGCACGTGCAGGACCACCCTCACACTTGGCACTCTGGCTTCTCCACTGAGCGAGCAACACAGCGAGCCCCACACCAGCCATTTCCTGGCCCCAGGAAATCCCAGCCAGCGATTCAGGGTGAGAAGTCCTGTTCTTCCAGAACAATCCTCTTGTGCAATCAGAGGCCTTTTGTGGGGCTGACCAGGGACTAGGAGGATGACCCCGGTGAGCGCCCCCCCCACCCGTGGTCTTTCCATAGAGCAAGCCCCGTCCCTTCCTTGCCGCTCTAGCTCTTCTGTGCTTTGAACTCAGCAAATGCCTGACGCATTTTTCTTGAATGACAGCAGCACCGATGTCCCCCTCCCCAGGCTGGGGGGGGGATGTTTCCTCCAGTGAGTGTTCAGTCTGCACCCAAATGCTTGCAAAGGAGCCACGGGGGGGCGGGGGGGGGATGATGGCCTTCCTACCGTTGATCTACCCTGGCCTTCAAAGAAGCTTGAACCGAAGATGCTTCTTGGATGGGAAGCGAAACCTCTTCAAGCAAAAAGAAAGCTCAGTTGCCTTTTGAAAAAGCACCTTTGGGACAACCAGGACTGCCTGGAGGGCTGAGAATGTCCTTGTCTCACCTTCACCTCTTGGCCTCTGGAATCTCAGGGTCTTTCACAGGACGATGCAAATTCTGCCCCACTGCCCCAGCCTGCTTGCATCAAAGGTCTTCCGGAGAGGTTCCCCCAAATACTCTTTTGCCTGAGGATCTCTGACAACTGGAGGGATCCTGCCAAAACCCCTTTGTTCAAGAGAGTCAGCTGCTGCCAGATCCTGAGGCAGCTTCCCACAAAGCCAGAACAGCCAGGCGCTTTAGAAGAAATTCTATTTTTAAGCTTGCGTCATTTTCAATGTGACTAATTCCATTATGTTTTTTATTACAGTGAATTAACTTGTGTAAACACATTCCTTAGTACTTCTTTGAATGCTGCCCCAGCATCTTCCTATGAAGGGAAATGCAGAAATATCTTAAATAAACATCTTGGTTTACCAAAATAAGCCCTTTGTTGCTCTAGTTCAGCCTTCAGGCTCTTTCTAAGGGTTTCCATTCAGGAGGCAAATTAAGAGCCTCAGCCACCCTTTAAAGTTCATGCCAAGAATTTAGCCCTTTTTGTGTTTCAAATGGCCATAGAAAGGGGCCTCCTGCCCTTTGGGGTCTGCCAGGACTCTCGCACATGCCCACAAAGGATCTCAACATTGACTACCGCGCTGATTGTATCAAAACAAAGTCACACAACCCACAACTCCACATTCAACCCTACCTCATCCAACCCACCACCACTCAAAACTAGGCATGCACTCCCCTAACTACCTCAATTCCAACAACAACTGGCCTTAAATGAAAGCTACTCAATGCAAGAAGCCTTGTGAATAAAATACCTGAATTTCTCCTCTTACTAAATATGGCTAAATTCGACATCATATTTGTCTGTGAAACATGGCTCAATGCATCTCTCCCTGACTCCATTACCACAGTAAGAGACTATCATGTTTACCGATCAGATCGTGAAATCTGTAGAGGAGGTGGTGTTGCTATCTTCTATAAAAAGTCCCTACATCTAAAAAACATCCAAGTTACCCAGGAGCTTGCTATTCCTGAGACCATCGTCTGTGAACTGTCCTTAAATATCACATTTCTGTTCTTACTATGTTACAGAGCCCCTGATTATGACATCGAACATGCAAACAAGCTAAATACACTACTAACCTGGGCAGCATCCTGCCCACACACTTTTATCTTTCTTGGTGACTTCAATCTACCTCATATTGACTGGACCCTAAATGAATGTACAACTGAACCCACACATGCAACCTTCTATAATGCTGAAACAAACCTGGGACTGGAACAACTAGTAACCAACAATACCAGACATAACAACTGCCTCGATCTCATCTTCTGTAATAGTTTGAATTCAATTTACGGAATACAAATTATAGAACCCTTTTCCAACAGTGACCACAGCATGACTGACTTTTGTCTCAACATACATCCACACAAAAATCAACACAACGATGTGATCCCCAATCATAACTTCAAAAAAGGCAACTATGATCTTATAGACAACGATCACTCATTCCTTAATTGGCAATCTCTATTCACTGGATGCAATACTGTTGAAGACCATTACAACATATTTTTACTTGAAGTCAAAAGAGTCATCAAACTATATGTACCAACTCCAAAAAACAGAAAAAAACAGATTATCCATAACAATAAGGAAGCTTCAATCCAAAAAAAAATCACTTTGGCGGAAAAACAAATCTGGTCATGTTGCCAACTTCAAAAGCCGATACAAAAATTTATGCCATCGGATAAAGACTGAATGCACCAATTATCACATTAAACAAGAGGAAAATCTTCTACGCACCAATTCCACCTGCGCTTTCTACAATTTTGTAAACAACAAACTAAAAGACTCAAGGTCCATCCCACCCCTGAAAGGACCTAAAGGTAAAGACTGCAACAACAACATTATTAAAGCCAACCTCTTTAACATATTTCTTGGCTCAGTATTTGTAAACAGCAATGGATCATGCCTAGTCGAACCACAGACAACTACAGTGATCTAATACATATCAATTTTACAGAAGACAATGTTGAAAAAGCACGACGCAATCTAAAACCATCTCTATCTTTTGGACCAGACGGAATATGTGCCTACTTCTTAAAAAAGCTATCCACTGCCATAGCCGAAACCTCTAAGCATAACCTTTGAAAAATCTTTCAGGACCAGCTCCTTGCCAAACCTATGGTCACTAGCCACGGTCATCCCCATCTTCAAAAAGGGAGACCCCAGCCTAGATGAAAATTACAGACCAATCTCTTTATGCTGCGTCACCTGTAAAGTCATGGAATCAATTATTAACCAATCCATTATCCTCCATTTAGAGACAAATAACCTACTCTCCAATAAACACTTTGGTTTCAGAAAAAAACTATCCTGCAATCTGCAACTCTTACACTGCAAAAACATATGGACTACACAACTCGATCAGGGCAAAGCAATAGACGCAATCTACAGAACCCGAACCCGAACCCTAACCCTAACCCTAAGCCTTTGATTCAGTGGTATACGACAAACTACTCCTAAAACTAAAATCTTATGGTATCTCTGGACACCTGCATAACTGAATAGAAGCATTCCTGTCAGACAACAAATGGTCAACATTGAGAGTGTCCTATCAAATTCTGTACCTGTCAACAGTGGTGTCCCCCAAGACAGCGTTCTAGGACCAACTCTCTTCATACTCTACATAAAAGACCTCTGTGATCATATCAAGGGCAATTGCGTTCTTTTCGCTGACGATGTAAAGCTATTCAACACCACAGACAATACTGCTACCCTTCAAAAAGACCTTGACTATGTATCAGAATGGTCAAACAAGTGGCAACTTCAAATCTCAACAAATAAATGCTCTGTTTTACATACTGGCAAAAACAATCAGAAAATAAAATACAGGCTGAATAGTCAAGACCTTGTTGATGATCCAAACTCTGTCAAGGATCTTGGAGTACTCATCTCTAATGATCTAAGTGCTAGAGCCCACTGTAACTACATAGCCAAAAAGGCATTAAGAGTTCTTAACCTAATCTTACGTAGCTTTTTCTCTGGTAATATTACACTACTAACTAGAGCATACAAAACATTTGCTAGACCAATACTCGAATACAGCTCATCAGTCTGGAACCCACATTATGTATCTGATATTAACACAGTTGAGAAAGTCCAGAAATATTTCACAAGAAGAGTTCTCTACCCCTCTACTTGTTGCAGAATACCTTATGCCACCAGACTTGAAATTCTAGACCTGGAAAATCTAGAACTACCCCCTTCGATCTGATCTAAGTATAGTACATAAAATCATACATTGCAATGTCTTACCTGTCAATTAATACTTCAGCTTCACCCATAACAATACAAGAGCAAACAACAGATACAAACTCAAGGTTAATCGCACCAAACTTGATTGCAGGAAATACGACTTCAGCAACAGAGTGATCAACGTCTGGAGTACTCTACCTGACTCTGTGGTTTCTCCCCCAAACCCCAAAAACTTTAGACTGTCTACTGTTGACCTCACCCCTTTCCTAAGAGGTCTGCAGGGGACGTGCACCAACATGCCTACTGTCCCTGTCCTATTGTTTCTTTTATTGTTTTTATATGTATCCATGTATTCATAACTATGTTTTTACTTATTCCTATTATCTTGTAAGCAATTGATAAGACAAATAAAATAAATAAAAATAAATAAAATAAAATAAATAAAGACAGCTGGAGCTCCGGGCCAGTTCAGCCCTCCAGCCAGGCATGAGTCAGGCATGCTCAGCTCCACGGACCGAGCAGAAGCCAGGGTGATTCATTCTGCCAGAAATAAAGCCATTGCAGCTGGCGCAACTGAAGCGGCTTATCAAAGGAGCCCAAACAGGTGCCTCACAGGTAGAAATAAGTGCTCTGTATGTTCCAGAAAGTTCCAGAAAACAAATGAAGGCAAGGGAGTGTTGATTGGAGCAGTTTTTCTCTGAGTCAAGAGTACCAGCACTCTGTATATTTATTTGAAATAGAATTTTTACCAGACTTCTCACTCTTCATCTTCTCAAGATAGACAAAGGATCCTGGGCTCACATGCTCATCATTCTCCTGGAAAACACGTGATGGAAGGAGCAGCCCCACACTTGGGACAAGAAAGCTAGAGCTCTGCCTACCTGGCCGGGAATTCTGGAAGACCCCAAAGTCAACCCCCCATTTGGGGACAAGGATTGAAGAAGCTTCTGATCCCCAAGCATTTGGTCCCATCAAGAAAGCCTGCCTGGGCCTTTCCTGGGAGGATCGGAGGAGCCAGGAAGAGGCGGCGGGGGGGGGGCATCAAGTGCCTGTCCCCCTCCAGCAGAGCCAACCACTCGCTCATGGAAACCAGATTTTTAAAAGGCCAGAAAATGTGGCTGGACGGATGAGAAATCGCAGAAGATCCGGGATTCAGAACAGAAGCCACTGTTGATTGAGTTGCTCAGCTCTTGTAAAGCTGGAAATACTTTGCACATCCTGGACCGAGTCAGTGGGGCCAGCTGTTGCTCTCTGGGGAAGGAGTGCATGAAGGGAGGGGGCATAGGGGAGGCTGGGAAACAAGGGAAAGACCATCCTTGACTTGTGGCTGGAAGATATGAGGTTTCGTTGTGTTTGGCGCCTCTGCAGCACATAGGTCTTTGATCCCTCCAGATGGGAGAGCATGGCCCATCAGTAAATAAATAAATAAATAAATAAATAAAAGTTTGGATCTAAAAAAAATTAACAGTAATTTTATCTATAAATAAATAAAATTTAAAAAAAAGATAGCGCCTCGCCTTGGGGAAATCTCCTGTGTCAGCAGGATTCCCCCCAGGTTCGTGGCTCCACTTGCTAGGAGTTGATCACCAAGCCAGTTCTACCCGACCTTGAGACCGAAGCAGGACACCAGGACACCCACCGGTTGGGGCTGGGCCGAGAGCATCCAAGGGAGAGCAGAGGCAAGTTTGTTCCATGCTGCTGTGGCTACCAAAGAAACCCCGTGCTGAAGCCCAAGGGATCCAGAATCCAGGAAGGCTCTGGCTGTAAAACAGCTTAGCCAGTTGCCCTCAGCCGCAGCATCGTTGCTGTCTTTATCGTTGTTTTGGTGGCCACAACATTTGGCACAGGTGACACCACTGCCCTGCAAGCTGCGTTGGCTACCTCTGTGAGGCAATTCAAGGTGCCAGGTGTCTCTCTTGAAGTTCCTACGTGTCTTGCGGTCCCCTCCTTTACTCCCCAATGGTTTCTCCATTCGACCCGCCCGGCAGGGGAGGCCTGTTGTGGATTCCATCAGCCAAGAGGGAACTTTTTCTGTTGCAGCACTGGCCCTCCAGAGCTTCTCGCTGGGACCCCACCTTGCTGGCCTCTGAAAGGCCTCAAAGACCTGGTTCTGGGCCCAAGCTGGGGCCAAAGTGTGTGCAGAAGCCCAGCCAGGGCTCCCTTCAAGGCCTTTTATGAGTCTTCAGCTGCAGTGTGCTTTCTTTTTAAAATCATTTTAGGAATTGTATTTTATGTAAAATTTGTACACTGCCCAGAGTCATATACATGATCTGGGCAGCCATATAAGCAAAAGAAAGCAATAATCCACCACAAATCACAGCTCAGCTCAACCCCTGACAACCACTCAAGAGACCCAGGGAGGGAGCGGCTCCCATCGAGGGCAGCCCGGCCCAGCAGCTCCCCAGGCTGCTTGCAAGGGAAACGGACTGCCGGGTCCTAACCCCGAGCCAAAGCAGCTGATCCCCCAATGCCCCGAAGGGGACCCGTCGGCTGGCCCTCCGCCCACCACCTCCCAGGCTCCGACCAGGGGCTTCTGCAGAGCGGTTGCATCCGGGCCGCGCTCGGCAGGGTCGGGCAGTCCGGGGTCCCCGGCCGGAGCCTCTCTGGCCAAGGCAGGCCGGGCAGAGAGGCAGAGGCTCCGCCGACCCTTCGGGGGAACCTCGCAGGGTCGCCCCCACCGCACCGCCATCTCCCGGGCAGCTGCCCTCCCCTCGCCCCTCTCGGGGTCCGGGCAGCGCAAGCGGCCAGGCCGGCCCAAGCCTCGCCCAGCGGCGGAGCATCTCCGGCCCGAGACGCTCCCCGGGCTCAGCCCCGTCGACCCCCGCCTCACCTGCGCGTCCCCGCGCTCGTCCCCTCCGGAAGGCGCTTCTCCCGCGCCGGCGGCCTCCAGGCGCATCGCCCTCCCGCTCCGGCTGCCGGCGAGTGGCCGCCGCGGGGGCGCTGGGCGTCGTCCGGCGGCCGCGTGGGGAGGGGCGGCGTCCGAGGCGCTCCCCGACCCCCTCCCGGCGGGCGGCGAAGCAGAGCCGGGCGAGGAGAGGGCTGCCCCGGCGACCCTGCGACTGCCGGCTGGAGCGGGGCGGAGTTGCGATTCGGGAAGGGCCGGGAGGGTGGGGGCGGGGGCGGGAACGGGCCGGGACTCCTCCGGATGCCCGGAATCAGCTGCGGACATCGCAGGTCGCGTCCGGGCACCCGCCCTCCGCCCTCCCCCTCCTGCCTTGGCCAGCCGGAAGCCTTGCAACTCAGCCAGCTCAGGTCCTGGCCAAACGCGCCCCCCCATTCCCGGCCTTTGTGCTCCAACCCCGAAGCGGGCAGGGGGCCTTCAGGAGGCCTGGCGCAAGTGGGCGTCTTCTGGTGGCTGTGACTTGCACCCCCGGGCTCTGAGTTTGGGCTACCCCAGCCAGGGGTCCCCGAGGCCAGGCGCTCGCTGGGGGCCTTTGGCCGTGCCCCCTTTCACGGCCAGGGTGACTCAGAGCACAGCTTGCCCTCCTTACTTGTCACTCGGGCTGCCTGGATGGGGTTCTGGGGTCAGGGATCTTTTGTGCTATGTCCTCCGCCAACTCTGGCCTATTTGTCAGCAAATGTTGGGTCAGCCCGTTCCCAGCAGCTCTTCCTCGCATGACTCAGACAAAACACAGATCTGGGAACCACAGGACAGAGCCAGCCATACTGCCGTGGCTTCTTCCCTGGCAGAAAACATGCAAATAATATTCTCTGACGGCCTCATGGTTCCTCCCAGAAAGCATGTAATGCAATTGGTCAGTGATGCTCTGGGACTTGTTCCCCTGTCCATGACTCATACTTGTCCCAAAGAGGAAACAAAGTCCCAGTTATTTCATTTGTCAAATTTATTGGCCACCCATCTTATTGCAGGCTAAGTGATGGCACTGGAAGACTGGTACGTTCAGGTTGGTGGACCTGAACCGTTGGGCAAATATTCCTTAAGGAGAGAGGAAGGCCCAGCCAGTGTTTTTTAGTAAACACACACAAAATAGCCCCAAGAATTATGGTACAGGAGCTTTCTAAAAACACATACTTAAAAAAAGTGCAATCTCAAATAGCTGCAATAGGCATCCATTGACCTGCAATTCTTTTTTATTTTAACTTAAGCTTTTAACAAATGTTTAAGAATTTCTGATGGGCTCGAGAAATAGAGGCTGTAGCCCCACCAGATGTGGGTTTGGTGTAATCGTACGTGTGTGGAAACCCAGCAAGACATTATGTCAGCAGGCTATGTGCAAAAAAAGAATTACTGTACACATTTTCAACCAGTTTTAGGGTTGTTAAATTTTATTTATCATTTCAACGCAGGGCGTTTGGTTATTTTCTCTCTGCGCCGTTAGTCCACCGCCTGCTCACCAAAGCGGTGCAATCGAAGTCAGGCGGAGGCTGCGGGGCGGCTGGTGGCCGAGGAGCAGCGCCCAACGCTGACCTTAGTCGCCCTTTCCAAAGGGCGCTCGCCCTGCCGGCTCCGAGCAACGGCTGGGCTCCCTTTCCAGAGCTCTGCACCCGCCCAACATCTCCGGCAAAGTCTCCTCCGCACTTTCCCCAATGCCAAAGGTCTCCATAGGCGCGCAATCTCCGCCGCCCTTTCGGTGGAATAAGCGCCAGGCCACATCTGGCGTGGGGCCCCACCCGCCCGGGCTGCCTCTGGAGCGCCCACCCGGAAAAAGGCACGCGGGCGGGGGATTCTTCCAGGGATAAAGCCAGGACGCGTCGCCGAGCGCGGCTCCCCCCGGCCGCGCTTCTCTTGGCCCAGAGCACCATCCGCGCAGGCTCCGCAGTCCCGGCCGGGGCCGCCCCCGGCTCAGCCGTAATGGGCGAGCGCTAGGACCGCGCGGCAGCCTCCCGTCGGGCGCCCGGCGGGAAGGGAGGGCCTGCTGCGGCCGGAAGTTGCGCGCAGGAGGCGGGCGCCGGCGACTTCCGCCCGGAAGCGAGGCCCGGCGGCGATGTGGTGGCGGGGGCGCGCGGCGGGGGCCCCGGTGGCCCCTCTCCTCCTCCGGCCGCGGGGGCTCGGGGCGCCGGACGGGCCCGCGCGGCTCTCCCCCGCCCGGGCGGCGCTGCACCGGGCGGCGCGGCTGCGCGGGCTGAGCGCGGAGGAGGTGCGCAGAGCCCGGGAGGCCCGGCCGCGGAAGGGCGCGGGGGCGGCCAAGGCCAGGGCCCAGGTGAGCGGGCGGGCGGGGCGGGGGGCGGCTGCCGGGCGGGGCTCCGGTCGAGGCGTCGCCTGACTTGCTTTGTCCGCAGCTGAGCGAGCGGGCCCAGGAGCGGAAGGTGCCTGTCACGCGCGTCGGGCGGCTGGCCGCCTTCGGAGGTGAGCGCGGGGCGGGGGGGGGGGGGGGGGGGGCGCGCGCAGCCCCCCCGTCTCTCGGTCTCCCTGCAGGCTGCTCGCCCGAGCGGCGGCGGCGGCCTTCTGCCCCGGCCGCTGCTGAGCCCCCGCCCCGCGCCCCCTTCCCGGGGCCGCTCAGGAAGGGCAGCGGGGCTCCCTCCCAGGAAGAGGCGCTCCGGGGCTCGCTCTGCCTCCTGTGGCGAGACCCCCTCGCGGCTGAAGGCCCCCCTCCTCCCCTTCCAGGGCTGGCCGTGGGGCTGGGCTTCGGGGCCCTGGTCGAAGCGGCGAGGAGCTCCCTCCGCGGGGACCAAAGCGCCGCCGGTAAGAGCCGCCGCCTGGGGACTCGGGGGCGGGGGGGGGGTTGGCGGCTCTGATTGGACCAGAGCCTGCGCAGCCGAGTGCCCCTCCCCCCTCAGGTGCCCCCTCCCACTTCCTGCCGTGCAGGGGGGAGGCGACCCCCGTGATTTGACAGCCCCTCCCCCACCGCCCTATTCCCTGCAGAGAGCAGCCTTTCGGCAGCCAACGCGGAGCGGATCGCCGACACTCTCTGCCGGCTGCGAGGGGCAGCGCTCAAGATCGGCCAGATGCTAAGCATCCAAGGTGGGGGCGATGGGGCTTCTCTGCTCGCTGGGTCAGAGGCTCCCTGGAGCAGCTGCATCTCAGCTGGACCAGCCTCCATTCGCAGAGGTGCTGTGCCCAGCTGGCACTTCTCTGACCCATGCGTCGTGGGGTGGGGGGGTGAATGCACTGACTGCTTTCTGCTTCCCTGTCACTCCGTATTTAGCAAGCTATTATTTCTTGCCATCTCTTACAAACTTTGTGGCAGGTGGGTTTGGGGATCAGCGCCCCAGTAACCCTCCAGTCTCCCCACAGACAACTACTTCCTCAGCCCCCAGCTGCAGCAGATCTTCGAGCGTGTCCGGCAGAGTGCGGATTTCATGCCACCCTCGCAGATGATGGTGTGTTGCTGACGTGGAGTTTGGGGGGGGCGTGTCAGTTTTAAGCCCTTGGGAAGTTGCAAGTGGTGGGACAGGATCGAGGGCAGTGGCAGCTGCTGAGTCTGGTGGCCTTGGGACTCTGCACAGGACAGGTCTGCCTGGGCAACCGTCGATGTAGCTGGCTGCTGGCTGGCTGCCCTTCAGTCCCCCCTCCCCCATCTGTGGGATTCTCTCCTTCCAGGGGGTGCTGTCCGAAGAACTGGGCACCGACTGGCGTGAGCGGGTGGCCTCCTTCGACGAACAGCCCTTTGCAGCTGCCTCTGTGGGGCAGGTGCACCTTGGGGTGCTGAAGGATGGGACGGAGGTGGCAATGAAGATCCAGGTCAGGACAATGGGAAGAGGTGGGAACCATCGTGGGGTGCCCTGTCCTGCCCCAGTTCTAACCCCTGCTCTGCCTCCAACCCTCATCCTTGCAGTATCCTGGCATTGCCCAGAGCATCCAGAGCGATGTAGACAACCTTTTGTCGGTACTCAGGATGAGCACAATGTTTCCGGCAGGTAAGGGGGAAAGGCGTAGCTTGTGATACATTTCTCGGGCTTCTGACTGGCATGAGAATTGGGAGGAGGAAGAGCTCCCAGAAGCTCAGCTGTGGCCCTGAAAATTGTGGCTGCTGTGAGCCTCGTGCCCCTGCAAGGAAGGCGCTCGCCATTTTGAGGAGCCAGGAGGGGGAGGGCATTGGGAAGGGCAGAAGGCAAAGCTGGGCAGCCCTCCGACCTTCCTTTGCCAGGCCTCTTTGCAGGCAACACCCTGCAGGTCCTTCAGGAGGAGCTGGAGAGGGAGTGCGACTACCAGCGGGAAGCCAGCAGCAGCAAGAGGTTCAGGTAGGCGGTTGCCATGGGGGGCGGGGGGGGCGTCCTTGGTCCAGCGGCCTTGCGACACCCGGCTAACCACCCACGCTTGCGTGGGGTTTCCCCCTGGCTTCTTGGCCCCCGGAGACTCCGTGGGGAGCGTTGCCCAGGGAGGGGCTCGGGCAGGGGTCCCAACAGGCCTCTCTTTCGCCAGGCGGCTTCTGGAAGGCGACCCTTTCTTCGAGGTGCCGGGGGTGGTGGACGAGCTGTCCACCCGGCGGGTGCTGTCCATGGAGCTGGTGGGGGGCGTCCCACTGGACCAGTGCCAGGACTTGGACCAGGAGGCTCGCAACGAGGTGAGGGCTGCTGGGATCCAAGCGGCAGAGTCTCCCCTTGGAGACCCAATACCCCCCTGCCCGTGACCCACCAGCGGCCTCTCTTCCTCCCCCAGATCTGCTCGCAGATCCTCCGTCTCTGCCTCCGTGAGCTCTTCGAATTCCGGTTCATGCAGACGGACCCGAACTGGGCTAACTTCTTCTATGACGCTGAGAGACACAAAGTGAGCCTTCCCTCGACTCCAGCCGGGCCGTGTGGACAGCAGCCTTTCCGTGGGGGGGAAGACTCTTAACGGTTGCTGCTGTGGCCCTCAGCCTCGCCTTCCTTGCAGGTCACCTTGCTGGACTTTGGAGCGAGTCGGGATTTTCGCAAGGAGTTCACTGACCTCTACATTGAGGCAAGTCCCCGGTTTCTGCCCAGGCTGGCCGATTGCGGCAGCCTCGGGGAGGGGAGCAGGGCAGGCCCCTCCCTGGACACACACACACACACACACCCCGCACTTCATGGTGCGGGTGGGTAAGGAGCCCACTGGGGGAAGGTTGGTTCAGGAAGTGGAGATGGGCAGCGGGAGGAGAGCACGGAGGGTCTGAAGGCCGTCCCCTGCCCCCAGGTGGTGAGAGCCGCGGCCGATGGCGACAGGGAGAAAGTGCTTCGCAAATCCAAGGACCTGGGATTCCTGACCGGATTCGAAAGCAAGGCGAGTTCGGCAGCGGGAAGGAATGGGAGGCCTGGCTTTAAAAGGGCTTTTGGGGAGGCAGCTGTGCCCGAGGAGCTCACAGGCAGCCCTGTGGGGAGGCAGGGAGGCTGCCTGGGGGGCTGACTGTAGCTGCCCCCCCCCGCCCCTCCTTGCAGGTCTTTGAGGAGGCCCACGTGGAGGCAGTGATGCTCCTGGGCAAGGTCTTCTCCACACCGGGGCCCTTTGACTTCGGCACCCAGGACACGACCCGCTGCGTCCAGGACCTGATCCCCGTGATGCTGAAGCACCGCCTGTGCCCGCCTCCGGAGGAGAGCTACTCCCTGCACCGCAAGATGGCCGGCACCTTCCTCCTCTGCGCCCGTCTCGCTGCCGCCGTGCCCTGCCGGGAGATGTTCGAAGAGGCCTACAGCCAGTACACAGGCCGGGAGAGCCCTTCTAGGCTGGGCTGAGGGTAGCCTGGCTGCCTCGGCACTGAGCTGAGGGACCAGCTGCTCCTCCCTGGAAGGGGTGAAGAGAAGAGGGTGGGTCTCCCGTCCCGTCCCTGGGCCTGGAACCTGCCTTCCTCCCCCAGGGAACCCGGCTGCTGCGGGTGCAGGAAGGCTGCCTTCTCTCTGCTGCGTTTCTGTGGGGAGGGCACCGGCAACGGGGGGCGAGGGCGGCTGGGGGTCTGTTGGTTGCCCCAGAGGGAAAAGGCACCTAACTCCCGGGCTGCCAAGGGAAAACAGCCTTTTGTGGCTCAGGCTGGCCTTGGCTGTCAGATGCTTGTCCAGGCTGCCCTGCCGGAGGTGCTGATGGCTCCCTTGCAGGAGTACCAGGGAGGGGCTGAGGCCTGGAAGGCCCCCAACTCACAGTGGGGGTGGCGGGGGAGCCGCCTTGCCTTGGATGAGAGCCCTTCCCTTCCCCTGCCTGCCTGCCAGTTTCTCTCTCTTGTGGGGCTCCACGTGACCTCGGGGTTTGTGGAAGGCTGCCCAGGAGCCGGAGTAGAGAGAACTGGCCGTCTCGGAGACTGTGGCTGAGCAGCCTTCCTGCACCTCTCTCCTTTGGGCCCCGGTTTTGAGTATCACGGAGAGCAGTGAGAAGGGGGGAGTAACCTGACATACCTGCCCCTTGGAGGGGGCGGCCTGGTTGGGCTGGGAGGCAGGTCCAGAGTGGCCCAGCTGCTGGTCAGGAGGGGAAGTAGGAGCTGATGGTCCATGGCTCCCCTTGCCCCCCGCCCCCGCCCCCCCCCAGTCCGCCCCAGACTCCCAGCAGGGAGAGCGGCCTTCCGCCTGTCCGTGTGGCCAATGTTCAGAGCCTGGGTCGGGCAGGCAGGCCCTTTCGGGGGGAAGGGCCTCTCCAGGCGCTCCTGGCAGGTGCTGCCGGGTGGCATTTTTAGGCCAAGGAGCCGGGTGGCATTTGCCCGATCCGGGGCCAGTAAGGTGCCTTTGCTGCCTCCACTTCTGCTGGAGAGCTGCTGCTCTTGCGGTCGAGGGTCTGTCAGTTCTGTAGCCTTTGAAAAGTCCAGTTCAGAACTGTATAAATAAATATAGAAGAACTCAATCCGGTTCCTCTTCCCTGTCCATTCAGCATACATCGATCATTCGTTCCCCGGGAAAAATCTGATCGGTGTCGTCGTCTTCTTCATCCTTGAAATTGCTGCTTGTGAGGATGAGGAAAGGTAGCAGCCACAAGCAGGTCGGCCCAAAGAACCAGGAGGCCCCTTGGGGGAAGTTTCCGGCCATCTGCAACTAGGCGGCTCAGCTCAGCCATCCCGGATCTGCCCCGGCCAGAGCACGAGATCTCCGGGGAAGGCGGTGTGTCCCCCGAGTTGGCTGGGAATGATGGTTTCCTGCCAGGTGCTTTAACCTGGGTTGTGGGACCTTGCAAGCCAGGACTGGGCGGGGCTTCTGCTCAGGCCTTTGGGGGAAAGCGAGAAGGGCTTGGAAATCAACGGGGGGGGGCTTTCTAGGGGGGAATAGGCGCTGCCCCCCAGATGGCTGCTGCATGGCTGACCCGGGCTGTCCCCAACGCTCCTCTGCTCCCTGGGAACTTCCCACTTGGGGGGGTGGGGGGCAGGCTGGCCAAGGGGGGGCTCCCCACTGTGCTTGAGGAGGCTTGGTGGGAGACGGCACCCCTCTTCCCAAGAGCCCCCGCGGTTTCCACTGCACGGCGACTGGAAGCGCCTGGTTCACCCCCACCGCTGACTGCTAAACAGGCTGGCCGTGAAGCCTGGCCACAAACAAGGCGGGTCGGTCGATGGGGAGCGGATTGGGGGCACGGCAGGGGTCGATACAGCAGGGAGCATATTCTGCCCCCCCCCCCTCCAAGGGGCAGTTCCAGGGAGGGAGAACAACTGGAGCCTCGGCCCAGGCTGCCTCTTCACTTGCTCAGCCTTGGAGGCATCCAAGCCTCTTCTGGTCAGGGGGCTGTGGGCCTTTCCAGAGGGGCAGAATGCCCCTCTTCACTGGCCGGAGTGTGATTCCCCCTCCCCAAATTATGAGCAGTTTGGCATTCTCTGGACTGGCCCTGCGCACTTTTTGGCATCGCTCCTTAAAGGAGCCCTCAAGTACGCAGATCCACCTCCCAAGGAAGCTGAGGGGGGTTTGCTGAGGCTTGAGGCCAGCATCCATTAGCCCTCATCACGGGAAGGCCGTCCTTGACTCTGCCCGGCCTTCGGAAGCTCCTGAATGGCGGTAAAGTGCTTCAAAAGACATTCTGGGCAAATACTCCATGGAACCTTTGGTGGGTTTTCTCTCTTGGACCTTCCACAGCCTGGACAGGGTTTCCGGGTGTCTGTTTTGGCCCGTTCAGTGGGCTGGTCCTCTGCACAACTTTAGAGAGAGGCTGAAGGGGGAGGGGTGTCTGGAGAGATTGCAGAACGGCACCTAAGTTCCAAGGTCTCGCTGTTCTTAATCTTCCTTCCAAGTACCTGCTCCAGGCTCCAAGCCGCTCTTCTCTAAGAAAGCTGAAATACGGGAGGACACTTACGGGAGGCCTCTTAAGAGCCACATCCCGCTCCCCTCGGAGGCTCTTCCTTTCCAGCCTGTTAATCCTCTCCATTCCCTGCTAATCCCCCGCTGGGTAAGCCCCACCTACTCCTGGGTGCAGGATTTAAGCAAGGGGATGTTCTCTGGGCTGCCCCCCTCTCTGAACTTTCTGTCTGTTATGGAGCCTTTTTCCAAAGGAGGCCTTTGCCCAAGGAAGAAATTCATAAATCTTGTCCAAAATGTGGCCTCCAAGGGTAAATTCCTTCTTTTTGCCCAACACATCATGACTCGGATAATATAAATGTAAAAAATACAATACAAATCCAGAATTTTGAACGATATACAGGTCATTCTTGCAAACCAATAATCCCTGCAAGTGGCCTGTTGCCCAAGTGAGGCCTGCGGGGAGAGCCAGCTTTTCTGGGTCCCTTGGAATAAGGCCAGAGCGAGGCCAGGATGCCCCCAGGTAACCATTACAGCTTAGGGAGCTGTTGTGCAATGCAGGCAGGCCTGGGAAGGCCAGGGCAACGTGCCCTTCAAGGCAAGACATTACAACTGTCTGAATGCAAGGGGATTGACGTTTGAGTGACAGTCTGAAGGATCACCCACTCCAGCACTGGTGCATTCAGTGAACGGATGGCCACAGCTGCTCTCAGGAGCTGCAGGTCCATGAAGTCCCCCAAAGGGGGAAGTAGGACCCGATTCAGGACAAAGGTTGGTCCAACACTCACAGCCAATCATCATCTGGGAGTTGAGTTCACCCACCTCCAAGCCCTGGGAGGAGCCCTTGGCAGCAGCCAGATACCCTAGCTGAAGAGGTTATCATTGGGCAGCATCCTGAGGATACCTGGCCTCCAACCGAGAGAGAATCTTGATCAGCAGCCTTAGGTAGCTGTTGAGCAGGACATGGGAGGGACTGAGCCCTCTTGGCGTGCTCCAATCATGGAGGAGGAGGAGGAAGTCCAGGTCCCTGGCTCCGAAACCCACCAGCACTAGAACATGGGCAAAGGCCTCCAAAGCTGCTGAGCCAGCACAGAGAACCAGGCTGGCCGCCCCACCCCCGCCCTGGCTCCACCAGAGGTCATCAGGAAGCCCTGCAAGGCCATCTCAGGACCATGCCCCATCCAAGCCTTCCAGGGGGCTCTGAAGCCAGACCACAGCCCGAACTCCTTCTCCAGGAAGTTGTTTTGGTCAGGTCTGCAGGTAGAGTGGCCCTCTCGGGAGCAGCCCCTTCCCACCGCTTCCTTCCACCGCCAGCGGGCCAAGGACGATCCCGAGTCAGCACAGCCAGCCAGGGCCAACTTCCAGGATCAATTCCTGGCTCCTGTTTCTTTGCTGCGTTTTCCCAGCATGTTTCCTCCTGACCCAAAGGGCGCTGGGAGGGGAGCCCTTCCCTGCTGTCTAAGCAGAGCCGCCCCCGCCCTAAGGTTAGAGAAGGGCCCGCTTTCTGGGGGCCCCGTGAAGCCCCTCGGGAAGTGGTTTTCCTTGTGGAGGCGGCCCGCGCCCAGCCCAGCCCAGCCCAGCTGGATTTCGTTGAAGCTGCCCTTCCCGGAAAAGAAACCGCGACGGGATGGGGGGCGTTTTTCCACTGCGAGGGGTGTGTGAAAGGGGAGCGTTGTGATCCCTTGCTCTCCTAGATCCCTGCCGGGGGGAGGAGAAGGTCCCCGTCGCGCTCTCCCAGCCCCGCAGCCAGCTCGCTTGAGCACGACTGGTCCCCTTCCCCGAAGCGGGGACTCCCGCCCACCAGACCCGCTCCAGGACAACGGCGCCTCCCCGCTGCCTCTTCTTTGGGCCGCCGGCTCGCTCGTCCTCTCCGGCGCGGGGATGCCGGCCTGGCCATTTCTTGGCTCTCGCCGTCGCTGGAAGGCAGAGGCGCGGCAAGCAGGTACAACGCGACGCCGGTTTCTTTCCGGCGCGTCCTTTTGCAGGGAGCCGCTCCAAGCGGGCAGGAGCCGGGCCGGGCCGAGGCAGGCGGGGAGGGGGCGCGGCCTTGCATCCTCCGGCCCCGGGGCGTGGCCAGGCGGGAGGCGCGGGCGGGCGGCGGCGGCGGCGGCGGCGGCAGAGACGAAGCGGAGTCCGCGGGCGGACGGAACAGCAGGGGCGGCATCGGGCCCTGCCTCGCTCCTTGGATGCCGAGTCGGGAAGAGGATCGCCGCTCCCGCACCCAGGTGAGGACGCGGCCGCGCCGGCCAGCAGCAGCCGGAGCTGCCCGCTGGCGGGGACGGCCTGGGGAGGGTCTCTCTCTGCCTTCACCGTCACCCGAGCCCCGCTCAAGAACCCAAAGCAGCCTCCCCGGCCCTTGGCGGCCTTCCACGGAGAGCAACCCTTTCCGGGTTGCCCAAAGGGAGTCGCGGGAGGGGGCAGGAATCGCATCCCGACGCCCCCGCGCCTCCGCCCAGCCGCTCTCCAGCGGGCGCGCCGGGAAGGGCTGGGCTTCCATCACTGCGAGGCGGGGGCAGGTTGTCCGATGCGCCCCCCCCCCCCCGGTCCTTCGCCCCGCCACACCTCAGGCTGGCCGGGAAGCTTCAGCATCCTCCTGCCTTCGCCCGGCTGCCCCACCCAGCGTTCCGGCTCCTCGAGCGCCCGCCATCCTCCTCCCCCGCGCCGAGGGGGTCGGATGGAGCTGCCTCCCCAGCGGGGGAAACTTTTCGCCCTGCCCTCCCCGCCTCCCTTTCTGAGAGCGGGCCACTGAGTTCCCCGCCAGGCTCGCAAGGTTTTGGGGGGGGGGCGCGCAGGATGCTGCTCGCCTTGCATTGCTGGGAACTTCCAGGAATGGCGCTGTGTGTGTGTATGTGGGTGTTGACAAGAAATTGGGGTGCGGGTCATACATTCTGAGATGGGCTTCCCCACAACGACCCCTTTGCAGAGAGGCTGGGAGGCTGCAGTTTAGCCCCCACCTCCCCACCCCCCATCTCCCATCTCCCAGAGTTTGCCTGGGGAAGGCCCACCTCCAGCTGGGCTCCAGGAAGACAAGCCCCGCCTCTCCCTCCACCTCCTGCCTCCCACAGGGAGTCCCACTTGCTGCCCCGGCCCCCCCCCCCCCCCCCCCGGGCTCTTTTCAGGGGCCCCCCCCCACGGCCCCCTTCCCCGGGGGGGGCCCATGACATGTTCAAAGGCGGCGGGGGGGGGTGGGGGGAGTCTCCCTGGCGGGCTCCCTTGCGGTCAGCCTTGGAGGAAATGAAGCTGCCTCAGGGACTGGCCAAAA